AAAAAATTCGCATTTATAAGGTTATCCTCATTCTAAAAACATGTCCATTTTACCTTCGATATATTTCAGTTATTCTTCCACAGGAAAGGAATAAATATCATTCATATTTTAATACAATAAAAATATTCATGATGATTAAATTTTTAATTAAAGTGTTGATAATACATCATAACAGAAATTTAATTATTACATATATTCTCTAAAATTAGACATTTTTTTAATATTCTGATTTTAGCAGAAATTCTTGCACTTTTTTAATAATTATTATAAATTATAATAAGTTTAATCATTAAGTACCACAATAAATATCAAATTATGTTTGGAGATGAATACTTTATTCTTAATTAATTTGTAAAATGCGTTAATAGCAGTTTGTATCTTCAGAATGGGGATAATCCTAAGGAATTGACATTATTGAAATAATAAACTTCTAATATGAATTTTAATAATAACTTCTTATGAGTTTTTCAAAAGACCCCTTAACATCTGATCCTTCATAATTAATTTGTATTTGGAACATAGTGATTGTACCTAGCATAATAGCAAAAGATTAAAAAATTTATGATATTTTAGAGCCAAGTTAATGCTATGAAAAAAGTCTATGAAATAATGCAAGAGGTTAATCGAATTTTTGTTGATGGATACATTTAGAAACAAAAAAATTCTATAAAGCATCTAATTAACCAGACAAGAAAACTAGTACCTTTTTCGATAAATAAACTTTTGAAAAATATGGATATAATAAATATTCTCAAAATCAACACTGAAAATTGGGGAAATCTAGGTTTATTTTTTTTTTTACAAAAAAAGCGCAATTCTTAGCTTGGTAAGTTTAAAGAAGCTTAAATGAACAAAAATTAAAATTTTTGTGTAGTACATTAGCGATTGGGACCCATCTATATAAAGGGTTTCATTGAATCCAATCAATACAATAACAAAGTTTTCATATTATGATGAAAAAATCTCAAACATAAATTTTGTTGAGTATTTCTTAACACCAAGACTGTACAGTATCAAAAAAATGAATTCTTATTACTTAAATTGTAAAATAATAAAGCTCCTTAAGATTTTTGATATATGATAATGGCTTTTTACTTTTCCTTAACTATTTTTTTTCTATTGGTTGAAAGAAGTATAAATTGAACAGCATATTAAATTCAAAAGGATAGTTAGATTGTTGGATAAAATTGTTAGAGCATCTAAAATAGAGAGAGATGAATTACCTGATCTTGTCTATACTGTAAATCTTCTATCAAAATGAGTAAAAGTTGATTTAGAATAATTTACTTTTATATAGTTCATCATATGGTTTTAGCAATTTCATTCATTGAATTTATATGTTATTAAAAATTATAAAATCAAGTAACATTTGATTCTATAGATTATCAATTTAATAAACTAAATTTATCCATCATTTCTATGAATTCGTTATAGTCTATTTCTCCATCTCCATTTTTATCGGCCTCTCTAATCATATCATCCCAATATTTCTCATCAATAATATTATCACTTTCTAAAACACTTAATAATTAATTACTTCCCAAAACAGTTTATAATTCATGTTTATCAATCTTTCCACTTCCATCTAAATCCAACATTTTGAATGCTTAATATAATTTTTCCTCTTTCATATATAATGATTTTTCCATAGTAGCCGCCAAGAATTCTTAGGATAGTTTAATAAATACCTGTATAATTAATGGTACCATTTCCATCAGTATCAATACTTTTGATTACATTTCCTAATTCTTTTGCTTATGTATCATTCATTCCTGTTAATCCTTCTCTCAATTCTTCTATAGTCAAAACACCATCACCATTCTTATCTAATTATTTGAACAACCTAATTATGCATTCTATAATACTTTCCTAAATCTGCAATTTCTTATTCATTCAATTAGGAAGCTATAAAAGTTAACGCCACTTTCTTCAGTTTGTTACTTCCATTAAAATTTTTTAATGAACCAAAATTGAGTTTTAATTCTATAATGTCTATATAAATATTCATACATTTAGTTTGCTTACTTCCATCTTTCATCCATTTATGTTAGATCACTTATGATGCTTTGTATCTTTTCTCTGGTATAGTAATCATATGAGATATTAAATCTTTAGCTGAATCACTTACAGCCTTCATTTCTGGAATTTCTAAAGTATATTCTCCCTTCTAAACTGCATCTAAAATTTCAGGATCACTATCTCCATAAAATGGTGGTACTCCAGATAAGAGTATATATAAAATAACACCTGCACTCCATATATCACAAGATTCATCATAACTTCCTTTTAATACTTCTGGAGATATATAATATGGAGTTCCTGCTTTTGTTTTCATTGTAACTTTCTAATTTCCTGCTTGTTTAGCAGATATAGCATCTTCAAATAGAGTACTCAATCCAAAATCAATTACTTTTATTGGTGAATCCTCTGCCTTTGTTAAGAATAAAAAATTTTCAGGTTTTAGATCTCTATGACAAATTCCATTAGTATGGCAATAATTTAATGCCTAAATTAATATTCAATATATAATTTACTTGCATAATTTACAAAAAGATTTCATGTGCTTCTGCTTCACTAAAACATCCTTTATCCATTATTCGATCAAAAAGTTCTCCACCTTCACAAAGTCTTAAATTATTTTATGATATTTATACTCCATTACAAGATAAACGTTTCTCTAATCTTCAAATGTTTCATATAATTTTATTATATTTGGATGATCTAATTATCTTAGAATATCTATTTCTTTTTTGAATCTATCGGGGTTCTTGACTTTACTTTTTGGAATCACTTTGACTGCCCTATGATTTTTAGTACCCTTTAGTGTTGCCTTAACAACACTCCCATATGTACCAGATCCAATAACCTTTTTAAGATTGATATCATAATATTATTCAATTTTTCCCTCATGACTCATAATGAACCATTATTTCTTCAAAAATACATCTTGATTCATACTTTTCTTTTTTATTTTTATTATATTTATTTTAAGCGAAAATGCTTAAATATATATCTATTTTATATCATTCTTCATTTTATGGATCATCATGCTTTTTATAATATTCATTAACTTAATGATCCTATTTGTTTTCTAATTCCACAGGACCAATCTCATCAATAAGAACTTCTTCATTTTGAATAATTTACGCGACTAATCCATATCATAATTTTAATACCTTATTCTGGTTTTGTTTATGGATCTGAAATTATTTCTTCAATCTATTCGTCAATCAATTCCTACTCCTCTGAACTTGATTTATGTCTAAGTCAAGATATACATATACTTAGATACAAAATTTTCTACTTTTGGTTCTTCTTATTAGATTTACTGAAGTTCTTCTAACTATTATAATCGTCCTTCTTCATTGCAATCATAAAACTTCTCTTCGTATTCTTATTCTTACTCTTAATCTTAATCCTAATCTTTTTCATAATCTTCATTTTCATTTTCTTTATTATTATCATCCTCAGGAATATCTTCCTCTTCTACTTCTACATCTTCTTCTCTATCATCATTTTCTTTAGTGTGTTCAATTATACCTGAATCCTAAATACATTATGGCATTTGTCTTGGTTTTGGATCAACGTCACATAATAATCTCTTCTCTACTGAATTGATTTTAGATAAAGTATCATCAACATATTGATCCCAAACTTAATTATTGAAATGATTTTCAACGAGTAAATTTGAAATTTTTGTTAAAATGCCCTAATAACCCGGTTTTATATTATGTTTAAGAGATCCAACTTTTTTTTTTTCATTTTTGTTGTATTTTAAGATTATTTAAGCTAAAAATTCTGAAATTGATTTGAACATATTAGGAAGTTTCTAGGAAATGAAGATCACAATCTTTTCAAACCAAATGAGAGCTTGGTTGTTAAATTCATGTTATAAAATAACTTCAGTGATGATTTGGAAGGATTGATTATTTATTAATTCCATTATAATTTCTTATTTCTCACTAAGTAGTAGTAAGTAAAATATTTGGAGTAATATCAATTTATTAGAGGATAAGGGAGTGATAGTTTAGCCATATGTAGTTTAATGAGGTATAGCTAATAAATTAGAAATGGTAAATTCATTTGGAAGATGTTTAGCTACATCCATGAAATAAAGGAAGAAATCTGTTTTGCCTGAATTATTAATATATTACAGTAGATTAAATACTAATTCATATGCTGCAGTTCTTTGACTTTAGTACTAAAAAATATATAGAGATGATATTTACGCAGATGGTGAGAAAGAAGTATGGGTTCATAACTAATTTAATCAATTCTTCATGATCTGGATTAATTGAGCTCTTTAAAAGATTATTGATGATTAGTATGCAATTGTCAAAAACCTAGATTGAAGCAGGAATATACTTCATTTTCGTAATAGCGATGCAGAGCAATCTTCATGATTCTTTGTAACACTGATTTTTGTTTTTCCAGTAATTGGTTGTCATCATTCATATCTGGGATCAAAATTTTTTCTATGATTTCAGCAATGTGTGGAATATCAATATGTTTAAGAAGATTAGAAATATCTCTCTCGTTTAAATATTGCAACATCTACTGTAATATTCAATCCAATACTTTCAAATGCTTTTTCCTCAACAAAGTGAGAATTACTTTTGAGAAGTAGCCTGCTTATGTGATATTTAGGATGTCTTCATTCAGAATAGAAAATAATCTATTCAAGTGATGCAGATTCTATTCTTCAAAAAGAAAATCTTGAAAGAAATCATTCTCCTTACTCAGGATCTCACTTGCTAAAAAGGGATATCTAATTGCATCTTCAATACACTCATACTTATATTATAATCTCTAATGGTAAGTCTCATCTTTATATTCTGTGATGTATTCTATCAGTGTCTCCAAATGCTCAGGATGGTCCTTGACGCTATGAATCATCTCCATCATTACTAATTCAGCAATTTGTATTGTTATTATGGCATCAACAGATCTTACAATAGCAACGATTCATCCAATATTAATTTTATGTCCTTCTTCTCTTCTATGAATTCATCCATCCGAGAATTCATAAAGTTAAACATTCTGAAAATCATTTATAAATTAAATTAATATTTTTAATATAAAATTCCATCTTCGCAATTCAATTAACTATTCCAACTAATCCAATGAGACAAAACATTCTAACGCTTCATAATTTACAAATCCTAAATTTGTGAATAATCTAATTTATATTTTATTATACCTGTTTCTTTATTTCTTGCTTCAGATTGCTACAAGAATTCTCCATTATCAGATCCTGGAAACAATGGACGATCTTTTTAACTTTGATATTTAAAAATTTTGATTCTATTTTTATATAACTAATCAGATGATAAAGGAACTGCCATTGTTACTTTCTCTAATTTTCACTTTTACCAAGGTCCTTTATTAAAAAAAGTAATCAAATAGAGTAGTTGTTCCTTAACCTATGGCATAATTGCCAAAACAGATTCCAAACATTCTCTATGAGTTCCATATGGATCAGTAAAGTCAGCTGCAGCATAAATATAACCAGGTTGAATCTTCAATATTATTTCCTTCTCAATTTGTTTTATCTTTTTAAGTAAAAGGCTTTTTCTATGATTTCCCAGACTCATAAAATAGCAAATCTAATAAATGAATATTTTGTTCTTATAATCCTGTATATAAATCAGCACTTCTAGCTTCAGCTCTTCTTATTATTGTCTTTTTATAAGCCAGATCTAGTCCATCTACATCTCCAGGCATCTATTCCTTAATTTATGTTTTGATTTTCTTATAAAACTTTAGTCCATTTACATCTATCATTCTCTAACTAAAATAAGCTTCATGTCCCTAATAAGTTGATTTCTTCATTGTTCCATGCATATATCATCATCTTCTTGATGTGGTGAAAATATTATTATTTTCTGCTTACTTGATAGCCTTCTATTTTGTAAAATTACGATACTGCCAATTTATCAGGTCTACATCTGCTGACCATCCTGTTATTCTATTAAATACATTTTAATTTATACATTGATACTAACTAACTCTTTAAATACTGTCAAATTTACTATCCCACAATATCAATCTATGTAATTAACTCTAATAATCTATTGTCCTCATAAATTCTTATAACAATCTTAATATTAATTTTCCTATTTTCTGACTCAACCATTTCACTCCTTTCTTTTTTGTACTCAAATTATATTTTATTTATAACTCTCCTTTCAATCCTTATGCTTCCAATAACCAAGATGCTTAATATCTTGTCAATCTTAAAGTTGATGTCCTCTCCAAAACAAATAATTTATTTCCATGATTATATAAGAAAGTTGCAGAATGCGAAGATGAAATTCCTCTCTCAATTACTTTTAATAATATTCTTTCCTTTCCTTTCCTTTCCTTTCCTTCTGTAAATGCTGCTATTATAATCCTTTTAGCTTATAAAATTGTTTCTATCCCCATTGTTATACCCAGTATCAGTATCATTAAATACAATCTGTCCGATATTAATAAAACTCTATTCATTAATTTCCTTTTTAGTACATTATATTGATAGGATAAAAATAAAATTCTATCGAGAAAATATTAGCTATAAGTGAACCTATAGCTAAATTAACAATTCTAGTTTAGTTAATGCCAAGATGAAGGAAATAATCATTCTAAAAATGAACATTACATAAATTATTTTTTTCAATAAATAATAATTATTAAAAAACCCTTTTATATTTGAATCTTATTTTTATTTGTCGAATGATCTTCTACTTCATCTTGATTTTGGCATTAACTAATTAGTCCTAAATATACTTCCTAGCATCTCTAAGTTTTAATTAAACCTAAAAAATCAATTAATTTTTTATTAAAGCCATATCTATATTAATATTCAAATTTAAGATTTATTATCGACGCTTCCAACACCTAAAAGTGAAAAGTCCAATTCACCTTTCTCTAAGAATAAGGTTTCAAAATATTAACAAAAGTCCTCTATTTACTCTTTAATAAGATTTTTTTCAGGGATATAAATATTTTCTTTTGAAATATCAATATGATTGAAAAGATATTAATGTATGAAATGCCAGTATGAATGGAGAGATTCCTTAAAATTTTTTATACAAAACTACCTTAGGAATCAGAAAAATTCATCCAAATTGAATGTTATTACATTTTCAAAAGATCATCCTTCCTCTTTATCCAAACAAACTAACTCCTTATAAACTTAAACTGGAGTTGATTGAGTAGCTGAACCGAATATACAAGGAACTTCTTAAGATTATTTCTACTTGATAATTTTGGCTGTTTCTGTCAGCTATCCACAAAGAAGGCACATCTATAATTATTGAACACTTTAAATATGTTTTTTTCCTTTTAATTAAGTTAATAGTACTTAAGAATTTGTGCTGTTAATCATAATAAATAATTATTATAATTTTATTCATATAGAATTTCTTTAATAATTTCGATAATCCAGTTTCTTATTCTAATAAAAAATTAATTTGCATTCATAATTGTATTTTGTTTTTTGGAAGAATATTTTAATATTCATTATAACTATGCTTTAAGATTAATGCACAACATAGAATTATTGATTTAGTTAAAAGTTAAATGACAAATAAAAGATCAATAAACTTTAAATTATGTTTTTAATTTTTTTTATACCTTTTGCAATAGCTTTGTAATGCACTCTTTTTGGTGAGGATTTTCTCAAAATAGTGGGATAGAAAGATGAAAACTTACACTTTCCAATAATGACTGCTTTTCAAGATTGGAGTGAATTTTCTGAATACGAGTTAATAGATTCAAATAAAAAGACTTAATTAATAAAACCTATAGAATATTTAGATAGTGGACCTATAGATATAACAACATGTAAGTATTTTTAAATATGAATAGAGGATTTCAAAATTATTTAATTCCATGGAGTTCGACCAAGGGAGAACTTCTGGTTAAACTAATATGGGATATTGAGAATTATGAACAACTAATATTAATTGATATATAGTTTTCATTAATGGCATAGTAACGAAGACAGAATACCAAAGTTTGATATGTAAATAGATATAGGCTCTATTGACGATATAAAATGCTTTGATTTTGTTTGGATGACAAGTGATTCCCTATTAATTGATTGTTTCAATATTAATAATGAAGATGAAAAGAATTATTTTTATTTCATAGAATTTGATGAACAAATCATTATAACAACAAAATTAATAAATTTTTATCCTTATTCTGATTAAGAACGAAGTCTATATCTTTAAAATTAGTATTTATATAGAGTAACTAAGAAGAACTTAAACAATAATTAAAATTAAGTGGAAATATTTTAATTTAATTTTGAAACCCTTCAAATCAATTTAATTACAACAATAAACAGCTAATTTTTTATTGATTAGAATTTCACTTAAAAATATAAAGATTATGATAAGATGGAAATTTTAGATTTCAAATGTAGTGATACATATTAATTTAGTTTTTTAGATGATTTCTCAAATGTGATTAATTTATTATTTGCATATGACAGATGGACATTAATAATTTTCGAGAATAAATTCAAAATTTATTCTTTTGATTTTGAATTTAACTCTAAACATCATATTTTAATAGGAGAATCATTTTTATACAATTCAAGGTATGATGATTCCAGACTGAACTTTTCTTTTAACACAACAAATTACAAAGCATATTATACAAAAGATTTTATTAATTTAGTTTCTTCAGAATCCATCATATAAATTGTAGGAAATAAGATTAATTTCATTAAGAAAGGTGATTTTTCTAGAGTTTTGATTGATTCAAGCAATAATGTCATAATTTCAATCTAAGAGAACAGAATTTTAAGGTTTTTAAACTTAGATAATGTTTAATTACTCTACCATCCTGTTGATGATCATGATTTAGAAATATATTAGGCATAAGTAAATTATAAAGGCTGCAGTTTAAATATTGAATATTAAACTATAGCATCTGATAGCTAATAGTTGATTTAGGTAAGAAAAGATGAATCTATCTTTTTGAAACCCTTTTTTGCTTCTTCAATCTATTAAATTAATTATTTTAATTCTATTATTTAAGGACCAAAAATTAGTATATCTATTTTAGATGAGTCAGAACGTGTCTAAGAAAATTTTCACTTATCTTAACCTCAAAAAATTGCTATAACTGGTGAATCTATTGAGGATTAAATTTTCCTAGAAATTCTTGAATTTCGTAAAAGTGATGAAAATATCATTAAATTTATGTTGATAACATAAGATAAATCATTATTACTCACTTTTCAAGTATGTTAATCCTTAAATTTTTAATTTGATTGTTCAAAGGCCAATTAAATTTAATTAGATTTCTAATTAACTAAAAATAATACTTCAATTACTTTTCAAGTAAATAATTTTTATATTTTAAATTTGATATCATCAGAAAAATTATCATTTCTTTAACTGGATTTGCTTTATTTTTAAATTGAAGGCAAAATTTTTCCATTAGACAAAGAATAGGAAATTGATTAACTAGGCTATTTTTCACATAACCTTATCTTATGTTCGTCAAAATAAGAAGTAATTTATATCTATCATTTAGTGAATAATATGATATTATAAAATACATTCTCATCTAGAGATTATTAATTTATCAAGCCTACTAAAATATTTTATTAATAGTTTTAAGAATCTTCAAAAAAAATTAACTCATTTTTTTTGTTTAATAAAGAAGATCAATTATTAGTATATATTTATGTAAGTTTTGACATTCGTTACATTTTAAATCAAATTTAATTGATTGATGTTGAAGATGTCAAAATCCTATTCTTAAAAAATAAGATTGCTTTAGTTTAGCAAAAAAAAGATTTTTAATGCGAGATTTTAATTTATAATGTGCAAAATCAGTATAATATATTTTTGGAAAAGTCTATTCCCTTATATTAGAATAAAATCGATAATTTATAGAGCGTCGCCACGAGTATTAATCATGATGCCTTATATATAAAAAGCTAAAATAAAATATTGATTTATCTAGTTAACAGTCCTCGACATAATTCTTTATTTTAAGATATAATCGTTGATTAAGATGTGACTGATTTATTTGCCATTTAAGATCATCTCATTTTTATATAGAAAGAGAAATTAATCATTTATAGTGTTCATACTAAACTATTTTTCAGTTATACAATTAAAATGCAGGAAGATATTTTTATATAGTCTTAAAAATCTCTAATTCAATATTCCAATGATGTTGATAAATTAATCTTAAAAGAAATATTTCGATTTATTAATATGAATACATAATTGTAAATTTTTTAAGAAAATTTCTAAATTGAGACCAAATTTAATGATGAGATCTAATTTAACACAATTTAAGATATGGGGTCTAATTGGTATTCAGGACAAGTGATTTCATTTGAATTATTAAATGAAAACCCTATAAAAAAAATTCATTTGATTTAACCTATTAATCAAAGTTAACTTATATTTTATAATAATTCAAGATAAGTCGAGGATTTTGATGAAAATAAATTATTTGCTTTATCAGATTATACTTATAGTTTGATAGATAAGACATCTGGATATCTTATTAAAGAATTTTAATTTTTAGATTAAAGTTTCTTATGCTCATAAATTCTCTTTTTTTAAGATTAAAATTATATTGTATCTTGTATTAAAAATACAGAAGTAATGATATATGGAATTATTTGTAAAAATGAAGAATGTTAGAACAGTTAAGGTCTACTAATGAATGGTTCTTTGACAAAAGTATATTTATTTGAAAAAACAATGTTTTGTATAGGTTAAACTTTTATGCTTTCTTTTGAATTGTAAACATCAATATTAGAAATAGATAAATCAATATTATTAGGTTAGATTATAATAGATAGTGCTTTATTTTCAAATACAATGTTGAAAGTTAAATCAAATCATTATCAACTATATTAATTAACTTTTTTTGGTTAATTAGTTATAAGAGAATTTAAAATAAATGATTAAGAGTTGATTGAGTTTAATGTTATAGATAATAATATTCAGTAATATTTAAATAAGGATTATTATATAGATAATTAATTGGTAGAAATAATAATCTTATAAACAAGTTTTTAGAATGATTTATTTTAAGGTAGTTTTATATTTTTTGCTAAGTAAGGGGCTCATTTTGGAATGAAATATAATTTTACTTGTTTAGAAATAGGATGTAAAATAGAAGATTAAGATGTTTTTTTGATAATTTAAGGTTATGAAGACTTTTAATTATTGGAAAAGAATAGTCCAAAAATAAAATTGAAAGATGATTTACTTTTAATATTATATTAGGATTGGCAAAGTAATTCAAAGTTTTTAGCAGCGTATCGAATTGCTAAGATTTATAATAAAAATTTACCAGTAAAATTCTTTGGAACAATTTAATTTAAGGATTAATATTAAAGAATAGAAAATTAATTAATATCATATAAATAAAATAAAAAGGTATGAAAACTATGATAATAAAATAGGAATATATATTATTTAATAATTATAACTATACAATATTAACTCTTTATGAAGTGAATTAATCACCGAGATTAGTATTCAAGGGAATAATGAAAAAGAGTGTTTAATAGATATAAATTTAGAATCATTTTTAGAGTGAACTTTTAATGTTTAATATAGAAATAGATTAAGTTGAAAAATCTTATCTATGGTTATGGATTTTATTAGGAGTGATAGGTGGATTATCATTAATTGGTATTGGGATTTACTTGTTTAAAAAGAAGAGAGGATAATAATAGGATAGATTGATTTGATATAAAAATGATTAATATATGTAAATGATAAGAAAAGATTTATCATAATAAATGAGCAAATATTTTTCAAAATTCTTAGTCCCAATCGACAAGGACAGTACAAATCATATCAGGAGTGGTATCTCTTTTAATCATATCAAGAAAGGGAATCTCTTCAAATTGAGATTATTAGAGTTTAGGAATATGAGGAGGTTTAATTTCCATCATTTCTAATTCTTCCTTAAAAATAATAGGATAATACACTATACCCATTAAAATCCATCAAACCAAGAATGAACCTTGAGTGCATCATATGATCCTCCTAATCTTAATTCAGGAGTCTTATTCATTAATTAATCCATTAATTTTATAGCTTTAAAATCTTTTAAAAATTGTGGATATTCAACTCTTCCATTAATAATTGCCTATGAAATGATATATCTAAATAATATCAATTAAATACGGATCATCATCTTCATTTCCAGCAAATGGAACTTCTCCACACATGAATTCATAAAAACATATTCCTAATGACCATAAATCTGTTGAAAATGTATAACCTTTTTCTTTTATTATTTCAGGTGACATATAATGAGGTGTTCCTACAATAGTATAAGTTTTAGATGCTCTGGATTTTAATACTTTTGCTGTTCCCATATCAATCAATTTTAAATAACCATTTTCCATAACAATAAAGTTCTCAGGTTTTACATCTCTATAAATAATATGATAAGAATGAAGTTTCTCTAATATGTTTATCATTTAAGCTATATAAAATTAAGTTTCATAAGAATTTAATAAACCAAGATCTCTAATTACATGAAACAATTCTTTTCCTTTTACATATTCTGTTAATAAATAAATATAATTTTAATCTTTAAATGATCTATGAAAAGATACTAAACTTCCATGATTTAATAGTTCTAATGCTTATTTCTCATTTTTTATATGTCTTTCTGTATTACTTGCTATTATATTAACTTTTGGAACACATTTCATTACATGTAAATTCTATTATGGAATATCCTTAACCAAATAAGCATTTCCAAATGTACCTTCTCCTAAAAGTTATAATCCAATAAAATCTTCTAAGGTAAGTAAAGAATAATTGCTTTTTTATCTTTTCTCTAATAAACTTGAAGAACCTGCTCTATCTTTATTTTTTTTAACAACAGTTTCTAATTCTCCTCCTATACATTCAAAGAATTATTTAAAAGGAAGTACAGATAATGTAGTTTTACGAGTTGTTACAATATCTGAACTAATTTTTCTTTTAGATTCCTCAACTTATAAAAATGTGTCTCCAAATAATTATCCATTATTATATAATTATCCATCAAATTCTAATTAACCATCAAGAATAATAATTAATTTATCAATCATTTAATTTTTAGAGAATAAATATTCTTTACTTTCATAAGTTTTAATTTTAAAATTAGATACTATTTTTTGAATCTACATTTTAGTAAGATCTCTTAATTAATGATGTTTTTCAAATGCCCATTTCTGCATATTTGTATAAATGATTAACTATCAACTAAATAATACAATAATGGTACCTGAATCTTTTCACCTAATATAGTTGTAATATCTTCTCTACTTAAAGATAGTAAATTAACATCTTGATCATTTGCTTTGACAGTTGCTCCTCTTACACAATTTCCAAATAATGCTTATTCACCAAAAGAATCTCCTTAATTCATAAATCTCAAAAACTATCCCTATTTTGTTACTTCAACAATTCCTTTCTATATTATATAAAATGAATTTGCCATATCTCCTTCATTTACTATTATTTCACCCTATTTAAATTTTAATGTTATTAACACATTTGCAATGCTATCTCTCTATTCTTCAGTCATAAAATCTATATGATTAATTCAACAACACTATTACCAAAAAACTTAACTTAATCCAAGAATTTTCTATTTGTTTCATAGGCTTTTTATTATATATCTTCAACTGCTTTTCTAAACTTCTTTCTTTCCAATACCCAAAATCCACAATCTCCTATTGCTTATACAGATGCTGATCTTGGTGCATGATACATTAATGCTAATTCACCAAAAAACTCTGGTGTTTTTAATACTCTCTTTACTTCTTCATTTATGATGATTTTACAATCTCCTCTCTCTTTCTTATTAATCTACAATATCTTACCAATTATAAAAAATAATGTTGCTTTATCTCCTTATTTAAAAATGTAATCTGTATTTCTTGCCGTTACATAATACATCTCATCAATTAGTTTTGCTCTACTTTTTATTCTTTACTTTACTTATCATCATTATCAAGTTAAGCAAACATGAAATGATTTCCAAATGCATTTAAAATCATCTAAAAATCAAAAGGACATTTTTCTTTCTATTATTTTACTACATTCTCATGTATTTACTCTTCCACTACTTCTATTTTCGCTTAGCGTTTCTTATCCCCTCTTCTTGGCTAAACATTATTCTTATAATTCATACTTCTGCAGGTAAACTATTTATTGAATAATTCCCTTTTTGTGTCTATACCATAGGCATGGGATCCATCGCTATCTCTGGTTGAGTTTTCTCTACTTTACTTATACAAACTCCCATTTTATAAATAATTATTATATACTCATTCTAATTTTTAATACAATATTATTTTTATTATATGATTTATCAAAGATATTTCTTTATCTCAAATTTGAACATCATTTATTTTTATATCTTCTTACTACAAATTCTTTAAAATTAATTATCGCCTTATCATATCAAAATTAACGATCAACATTCTCAAATTACAATCAACCACTTTTACTTATTAATCAAAAATTAATCTACTCCTACTTTTACATATTATCTCCGTATTCTTCATTTACATTTATTTACTTTTAATCATCTATCATAATATTTATAATCAATTTTTAAAATTCTTTTAATCAATTCTAAAGTTTCTTCAGCAAATAATTTAAATTGTCATATTATTTTTCATTAAATCCTTGTTTAATTAATTAACTTAAATTATCCTAAAAATTTATCTAAAATCATTTTATTTTGCTCTTCATATATATCAATTCTTTTCAATATATAAATTATGATATTTATTTTTTAGTTATTAAATCACTTTAAGTTAGTTATTAAATTTAGTTTTTATGATAATTAATCAAATTATGTTTATTTAAATATTAAAATCATTTCATACAACTTGATTTTGTATTCTCCATCTCAATTAGATTAACTTCATATTTATTTAAATTTTGCTATTTACTTAACAAATATACTTATCTATTGCGAATAAAAAATCATGTTTTGTTTTTACTTATATCAAAAAAGTGAATTCTTTCATAATATCAATTAATTAAGCCATTTAAATGTTTAATTAACCTATTTAAATTGAAAATGTTATTTATTTTGAACAAAATATTTTTTTTAAACTTAAAATGATTAAAAAATTGTGAGTTATGAATATTCTAATATATTTTTAACAAAAAAATAAATTTGTATTCTTTATTAAATAAGAATAAAATTTTGAAGAGATAAAAACTGAATCCCGAATTGAAACACCTATAAATCTATGATTATTTTCTAATATTGAATTTGATTTTAATAATTTTATTTTTTTTGTGAAATCTAAAAATGAGAAATAAAATAATATCTCCATTTTCATTTTATTAGGAATTTTTGCAATTTAAATCTAATCAATATATATTTTCTTATATATCAAACTATAAAGTAGAATAAAAATAATAAGTAATAATTAGAATAATTTTAATTAGAATGGTGTATTGAAAAATGAAAATGATAGATATTCTTTTAACAATCAGACTTCTATTTCAAAATTTTTCAATAATTTTGATTACATGAAACTTTACTATATATTTACAAAATCTTCTTACTCTAATTTATTTTTCTATAAAGCTTATAAATAGAGGTGTTAATTATTAATAAAATATTAAAAGTTTAATCACTTAATTAATGTTACTTATTTAAATAAGGATGATATGATAATGTTTGATTAAATCAAGAATCAAATTTTCTTCTCTAATATGGTCTTCTTTATTTAAATGCAACTCTTCTATCTTATTCTGCTTTCTTTACTGAGTTTTCATTTTCCAAATTTGTCTTAATAAATGATTCGACTGTTCCTTTTCTGATGTTGAGATTCTGTGCTGGTAAAATCACAAATTTTTCTTAAGTCTTTAAATATAATGGAAAATGAGCAGTTTAATATGGCATATCATAATCTTTGAGGTTGCTTCTAGCTGCATTAAGTGTCTATATTTTATATTTTTTAATATTACATTCTAAAACTCTTTGAATTGATCTTTCAGCTATTTTCTTTAATTCATAATTTTTTCATTAATTTTTGAAGCCTTTAACATACATGATTTAACAATTTCTTCATCATCAGCAGTACCTGAACCAAAGATTGGTCTATAATTCATAGATTATTTATTAGATATTGAGTCCTAACGTGATATGTTATTTTCATCAGATTTATTATCATCTTCTGGTTCAATATCATTATCTTTTATCTCAGAATAAGAAACTTCACTTGATTTTTAACTTTCTATATATTCATTAGTGTAATCAATAATTTCTACATCCTAAACATCACTCTCTTCGTCATTTTAACTAGACATTAAGAAAAGTATATTTTGGTTTTGAAAATATATATATAATATATAATACAATTGAAAATTAAAAAATTAAAATGTATATAAAATACATATGAAAAAATTGAAAATAATTAGAATTCATTACTTACCTTGCAATTAATTGATTAATCCTTAAATTTTATTATCTTTGATTTGTAATAGTTATTCAAGTTTTTTTACTTTTAATTATAAAATTTCAACAGTTTCCTTTAACTCTGTTATAGATTAATTTTTTTCAGCCAATATCAATCTTAAATCCTAATTTTATAGGGAATCTTCCTACATTTACTATTTTTGTTGCTATTAATATTACATTTGCTTTTATTATTCAAGTGCCTTCTTTTCTAATTCTTTCTATTGTTCCAAATATTTTTCAATTTTTATTTACAAATACTTTAATACTCTTTCAACTGCTTCAGATTAACAAGCAATAATACTATCAATATCATTTTTTGATAATTAAAATCCTAATTTTTTAAATACCTATATGATTACATGATGCTATACTTTTAAATTGAGTGTGCTCCAATTATATTATTTTTATTAAATGCTATTAGCTTAAGGATAATTATGTTTTTCTACTAATTTTGGAAGGTAATGATATATAACTTCAGCAACCATAGCTCCATCTGCAAAATCTCTTTAAATATTCTTCTTTGGCCTAGTCAATGGAATTTTATCAATCTCAAAATAATATTTTATTATTTACCCAAGCATATATATTCTATAATTCTAATTCAGAAAGCGGAGGCAAATCCATCAAAAATGAAAAACTTATATTAAAATTTTAAATAATCTCAAAATAATAATAAAAAATTATAAATAAAATATTATTTAAAAAATAATGAATTTTAATTTTTAGTTTCAATTATTATAAAGAAATAAATTTTAATATTTAAAGTATTTTGAGAATTAACAATTAATCAAGAATTTATAAATTAAATAATTTAATTTTAATAATATTAATAAATGTTATTATTATCCTAGCGATACTCAACATAATTAGAAGAATTAGAAACTATGAAGGCATCGATACAAGGATAGCAATCTTCTCATTCTAGAAATCTTTCAAATGAAAGACCATTAAATTAATAGAGATAATTGTAGTTCTCTATGGAAAATCCAAGACATAAAAACAAAGTACAATCATACTCTGTTGAAAAATAAGTAAAAATAAAAGAATATTATTTTAGTTGAATTTAAGTTCATAAAACCAAAAAGTTGAAAATTTGATTGCTTCTTGGATGCATTAGAAAAATTCATAATCTTTAAATTCAACTTAAAATGTATTTGTACCTTCTAAAGTAATTAATGATGTTCGTTCAGCTTAATAACTTGAAAATCAAAATAAAGAACTCAATAAACCTCATATCATTATGGAGGAGGATGCATTGTTTACAGAAGAAACTGAGAATTAACCTAATATTCAAAACAATAAAAACAATCAGTCTAAAATTCCTGTCCATTTGATTGTTCCTACAAAAAATCATAAAGATATATGTATTAAATTCTTAATGAAGAAAGTCAAGAAATAAAGAAAGTTAATAAAGGAAAGAAATAATATAACCAAAGACCATAAACTACTAAAATTAATCAAGGTAATTAGGCAAAATCATCACCTTTTGTGTTTAAGGAACAATTTATATCAAATTCTATGAAAATGTCTCAGATTGATTAATCCAAACTCAATAATCAATTTAATGGAACCAATACTTAACATAATAAAAATAAATAATAATATTCATTTAAATAAGTCAAGAAAAGTAGTGCAAGCATCCATGAAGAAAATCTATAAGAAAATTAATTCATTTCAGACTTATTAAGATTAAAAGAACAGATTTTATCTACATACTTAAAATAAAATCGAGCTCTAATAGGTTCTTAAAATTAAATCGTTAAGTATATCAGTGTAATAAAATTAGAAATTTTGATGAAATTGTATCTATTATAAAGTAGGATTTCCCAAAATGAAAATATATATATAAATATTAAATATTATAATTTTACATTTAAAATTTTTGAGTTGATTCATAAATTCTTAATTTTCTTCTATTTTGGCTATCTTTCCTTAAAATGATAAATTATGAATACTGATATAATTTAATCATAAGAATATCATTTTCTTGTTTTTATTCTATTAAGATGTTTTATAATAAAAAAATTATTTTGAGAATATTGGTACAAAATAAGAATATTTGTAATATAATGTTATAATTCAATATAAGCTTTTTGATTTAGAAAAAGGATGACAAAAATAAATTTTGGAGAATTTCTAAAATTTGAAAGTTAAATCTAAAATACTAATAGATATTTATAAAAATACCTTATTAACAAAATGCAAAATTCATCAATATTTAATGGAAAATATGTAGTTTAAAAAAGATATCTTCTGGATTATTTGGAGTTGTGTTACTAGGCAATGACAAGATTATTGATGTAACAATCAAAATTGTTATGGCATGGAGAATAACATGAATATAATGTTATAATCTTATAGTTTTTGAGAAAAGATCTATCTTATTTCATGAAAAGTCAAAAGAAATTTTCTTTTAAATCAACAATATAATTAGAGATTTAAATAATGTATGTGTTAGAGAGGATGCATAATAAAGGTATTATATATAGAAATTTAAAGCCAGAAAATATTTTATTTAGGATTGAGAATGAATCACCAAAAATATATATTGTTGATTTTGGAATAAATAAAATATTTATAGATAGTTAAGCAAATATATTGAAATATCTATTGATATTATAAAAGTTGAACATTTAGATATAATGTTTAATTTAGAGGTACTACTAGATATGTATCTATTGTAATAATGATCATGAATTAGATAGAAAAAATGATATTAAATCTCTAATTTATATGTTACAAACTAATTATTGTTTTATTTATCATCAATTTTAAAAAGCTGCTGAAAACTAAGCAATTCTATTAGATTAGATTTATTATTGGGATTAATAAATAAGAAACTAGTTTTCATACTTTTTGTTATTAAGAAAAACAAAATTAAATTTTTTATATATTCAATTAATCGAAATATAATTATTGTGTAATCTTGTTACTTTCATTTCATTAATAATTATGATTATTTATCAATTTAGATAATAAATTTCTGGATTATCATTTATTTCTAAATTAATATTCTACATTAGCCAAATCAATCCAATTAGGAACAATATGAAAATAAAACTTAAAAATATAAAATAATCTAGAGGGATCGCCATTAGAAATTCACTGAATTTTATGGAAACATCAAACATTTTCAACTCTACCCTTTATAAAATTAAAAAGTTAAATAAATGCAATAATTTAATCCTTAATTTTTACATTTATAACTTTTTTTTCCAAAATATTATGTTAGATTTTAAATAATGCTACTAATCTATATATGAATATAATTCAAATTCTAAAATACTTTCTTTAAGAAAGTATTAAAACATAAAAATAGAATTTACTAAATTATAGTAAGAATTATTATAATTCTTAAAAAATCTCTTCTAACTTGTTGTAATAGATGAAGATATCATAAAATAATGAAAATTTAGATTATTAATATAAATCAACTATCTAATAATTACAGCTTCCACAATCTAAAGAGATTAAAAAATCGGTTAAAAATAAGGATCTAATTTAAATAGATAGTAATTTTTTAAATGTATCAAAAAAAATTAAACAACAATTTTTTAATATCACCATCATAATTAATGAGACAAGATTTTTAAGAACCAATTGTTGTTTTTGCTTTTGGTAGTGTTATTTTAAGTACTTATAACTCAATTAGGATAAAATACTTACATTCACATTTGGCTTTTGATATTAAAGTATGTAATGATATGTTTCCATAAGTGAATACTCATACTATGAAATAGATAGTTAAAACATGTAATTAAAATGGAAAATAAAATTTTGTTAGAGACAATTGGATTGTTTTTGAGGAAAATTTTGAAAAAATTGCTGTTTTTAAGAAATTCAGTATATTTTGAATAGAAAGAAATTGAATTAAAATGTATTTATATTAAATTGATGATAATTAGTCAAAAGAAGATATAAAAAAGTTGAGATGGAAATCCTCAAAAGAAAAAGGATTGATTTAATATTTGTTTAGATATTAATTAAAAATGATTTTAAAACATAATAGATTATATGATATTATAATCTGTTCAGCAACAAATTTTTTTTTTATTTTATTTTGGTAATTCTGTAATTTTTTCATTTTCTGCAATTTTTCCAATTTTAATTCCATGATTAGGATCATGTGGATCAATATTATTGGATTTGATATTCTCATAAATTTTCTAAGTCAAAGATTCAAATATAAATTCAACATTTTCTCCAGTTTTTGCAGAAGTTTCTTAAAATTCACATCCTAATTAGATAGATAGTTATTTTCCTTCATCATAACTAACTTTTCGATCTTTTAAATCACATTTGTTGCCAACTAACATAAATTCTATTCTTGTATTGGTATCTTATTTAACTTCTTTAACCCATGTTTAAATTCTATCAAATGTAATTCTTCTAGTAATATCATAAACTAAAAAACAACCAATTGATCTATAAATTTAAAATAGATGAGATATACCCTCTGTAATATGCTCTAGTTATAGATCGAAAAGATTCTTAACCTGCCTGAATAGAATTAAATAATACCGTATCCCAAAGCTATAGTTTAATAAGCTTATCATCATAGATAATTTCTTTAGATCCATATTCAACTCCAATAGTTGCATCATATCCAACCTAGAATCTACCTTCTGTATATTATAATAAAAGACAACTCTTTCCAACATCTATAAAAGATGATTGATATTAATACTTGATTCTCCTACTATAATGAACTTGAATAAATAATGATAATTATTCATTTTTATAATATCACTCAATTTCTAATCTTCTATACAATAGATAATAACCCATATGCCAATCTCCACCACCTCTTAAATCTAAAATATGTTCAATTTTTCTCTCTGCTGTTTTCTCATCATCATACCATATCCAATTATCACCTGAATTATGAACCCATGCCATATAATGTCCTGAATCAGCTTCTCTTCCAGTATGTGCTTACATTATTTATTATTTATAAACTTACTCAAAACACCAATCAATTCATAATTTCCTGTCACTAATCCAAATCCATGTCTTCTATATAATTAATCATCATGGCTTTTTATTTCTTCTTATTATTTTTTAGCTTTAAATTATTTATAAATTTCTCTTGTATCATCTGCAATCATCTTTCCTTATCTCTCTAAATCTTTTTTAAATTATTCTAATTCATCGATCTCTTTAGCAACCATTTCCAATTATATTTTTTTCTCATATTCTCTTCCTGCTTATAATTATTCTTATAATTCAGCAGCACAAAAATCATATAAATCTAAAATCTTAGGAAATCCCACATTTCTCAATATTTTAGCTTTTACACCTTCCTTTCCTTATACTCCCTATTTCCAATAAAATCTAACCATCTAACATATTAAATAACTTGGCTTTAATAATATATTTTATTTATTACTAATTTACTTATTCTTTATGTTTTCTTGTATAAATGAGTTTATTAATCTGTCTCTGAGATTTTCTCCATTTATTCTTCTAAACTTACTGTTATTCCTTCTAATAAATTATTAACTGGTTTATTTTAATTATCTATTATACACATTAATTTCTTTCCCTTTTCTATACTTACTTTTTTTGGTTCATCTGGAATATCTTGATTTTCAATTGTTGATTTTAATTCTATTTCAAATAAATCTTTAATTAAATTCCTTTGTTATCCTTCTTCATTTTCATAAGATGTCAAAGGTTCAATAGTTTAAAGAATATTTTAAAAACATTCATCAGCATCTTATTATTTAAGTCCCATTTATTCTTCTCTTTAAAAAAACTCTGGATATAATTTAAAAAATATCTAAAATTTTATGATGATATTGATTACAGCCAACAAATTTACAGGTTAAAATGGCTCACCTTTTAGTTCAAGTTTTTAGAATACATCTTTTAATTCATTAAATAATATAGCACTTAATCCTTATCCTTATTTTGTGTTATTTTTTACATATTCATTCAATTCATTAACTCTTCTCAGAATTTAAATAGAAGCATTCATATAACATGTATTACCTAAATTAACTAATCCTATAGGTAAAACAATCTTTATATAATTCAAAATATATATATATCCCTGCTTTCTATTTTAATAATATAGCCTTCTATTCTGGAGTAAGATCATCTTCAAATATTTTCTTACCTTATTTCAAATTTACTAAATGTTCATCTCTAGTACCCATAACCATAATTTATTAACCCTAAGTAATAGAATTAAATTTACATTCTTAAGATTTATTTTTTAAAGATCTTAATTTTATTTCAAAAGAGATCCCTTAATCATAATCTTTTATTTTTCAATAGGAACATTTAAAAGTTCTTTAAGAGTTTCTTAAAATTTAAGTACTGTTCCATTTAAATCAATAGGTACATTTTTTGAATTTCTGATGTATATTTAATTTCTAAATAAATAATTTTATGTTCCTCCTCTATTTGCGCCATAATTGATATAAAATGTTATTTTAAAATAAATTTGTTATTTATTAAAATGAATCCAAATACTCCTTTCAATGAACGCTTTCATAAAATTTAAGAGAAACTAAATTAAATTCCATTATAACATGATTAATCAAAAGCTCATAGAATAGATACAATATGTGGAAGAATATCAGGAATTGAAGAAAGAACTTAAGATACAATAACATAATATAATAGAAAGCTAGTATGAGAATATAAAATAGAAATTAGTATTAATTGAAAGATGAGATAGTTCGTTTATAAAAATAAATAGAGGAAGAGAATAATGCATTTGAAACTTAATTTGAATAAAGAGTTAGAGAGATTGCAGCATTTGAGAGTCGTATTACAACAAAATTAGAATAAGAAATAGCAATAAGAAGAGATGGAAATTTAAAGTTACATGGATATTTAGATGAAAAGGTTTAATAATAATAAATATATTAATAGGTTGTATATTTAAAATCAGATACTTAAACTGAAAGCAAAATAAGATAAGAATAAATAGAGAATATTACTACATCTTTAGAAAATGATCTACCAAAATTATATGAGATGGTAAAAAGTGAAGGATAAGATAGAGAAGATAATGATAATGGAACATTAAAAAGAGCAGGAGATGAAATACGTCGTTTAAATGAAGGGTTAGCAAATCAAAAGAAATTAAGGTATTTATAATTAAAGAAATACATAATTTTAGAGAAGAATCAGAAACTGCTATTTTTGAAATGCTAAAAGATTTAGTCTCAAGAGTTAAGAATGAAATAGAAGAGTAAAAGAAACTTAGAGAAGAATCTTAAGAATCTCTATTAGCTTTATTAGAAGATGCAGCAAATAAAATATATAGAGCAGCCAAAGATTGATGCATTCAATAAATAAAATATATATAAATATATTCAAATAAATTTTATTTATTCTAATTATTCTAATTATTTTTTTTATTTTATTTATTCTGATTATTCTTGCTTCCTCTTTAATAAATTCTTTATTAAATTATTAAATTATTGAGCTATTTCCTTAATATTATTATGTTTGAGAAAGTATACATAATTCTTAACTTTATCAAATCCTTCGAAAATATCTAAATATTATCCCATCTTCTTTCCTTGTTCTTCTTCTAAATTTTTATTTAAATAAAAATATTCCATTTAGTTATCATTAACTTTTATAAATGGTGTAATTATTATTCTTGTTTATCTTCGTTAATCTCCTCTGTTATCCCCAATTTTTTTGTCTGAATCCTAATTACTCTTATTACTTAAAACTGTATTCTAATGATTCTATTGTCTATTAGCATTTAATTGCATTTATTAAACATTTTAATTTTAACTGTTATTATAACATTTATTTTATCTTTCTGCCCTTTAAATTTTACTAATTACTTCTAAAATTTTATCTCTCTAAACATATAAATAATAATATATACAATATCTTCATCTTTCAATGCATCAGTACAAGCTTAAAAAGTTAATCTACGTTTTCTTTAATATTTTGATAATCTTGAATTACGATCTAAAGCCAATATTGTATTGTTAAGAACTTCTTTATCTATATCTGACTAATCTTCAATAATTTCATCATTTGCACTATCTGCAAAACTGGCTCCTTTTTATTGATTAAACATTCTAATTACCTCTACTATCTAATATATATTTTTAATCTTCTATTTCTTATTAGAACATTTTAGTCTTGCATAAATATAAATAAATGCTATTTCTTATATCGAGACATTCTTTTTTTGTCATAATCTTTCTCTCCATTTTTCTTGTGTATTTCACTCTATCTGATGGGATATTCCTTCTATAATTTAACAATACTTTCACTCTATTTGGATAACCACACACCATTCTAATATTTAAATAATAATTTATACGGGCATTCCTTTATTATATGAGTTGGTTTATTACATGCTCTACAAGTAACATCTATTAATTCCTATTTATTCATAAACGAGATTTATTACACTAATTCACAATACTTATACTATTAATAATACAATCGAGATTTCTACATAATCATTTTAATGTTGCTTGAGAATTTCTATAAATTAAGATCTGTCTATTTTTAAAACATATGAGAATTGATTTGATTTGCATGACATTTAATAGGCTTAAGACTAAAAGAACTCTAAAACACCAAATGGTATTCCTTCCTATTTTACTGTCTCCAATATCTTTACTGTTTATTACTTATTGTTCATTGTTATATAAAATGATAGACTTCCATTTGAAAGAATATATAAATAATCACTTGGATCATTTTGCTAACTTTCTCCAAATATTATAATTACCTAATAAATTCTAGATTCTGGTACAAACTTCTCTTCTACCATTGTTTTTGATAATTAAATCAAAAATTATTCACTAAAATTCTATGCTAAGAAATTTATTTTAGATATCAATTTCATATTTGTATCTACTTTCATTTCTTCTGCTAATTATTTTGGAATCAATTCACTAAATTTAAATACTTCTCTATCATTATCTTCCATTTAATCACTCCATAAATACTCAAAATATTTTCTAATCTTTTCTGCTAAGTGTTTATTAATACCCTTTATACGAATAAACTTTTTTAAATTATTCATATCTGTTCTCACCTAAAAACTTCTTCTATTCCATTCTGCATATATTGTATTTATATTCCCTATTGAATATCCAAATACACCTACTGCTGATAATGCCATCCCTACTGCAAATACTCTTTCTCTTAAATTTTATGGTGTTATATCACCATAACCTATAGTTGTCATAGTTATTATGCTCCAATAAAATGAATGCATATATTAATAAAACCAATGTTCATCCTCTATATTCTATACTTTAACCCATGAATTCAAATTTGGATCTCCCGTCGATCCTACTAAAAACCAAAGACAAGCTGAAAAATGAGCAGCTGCTAATATTGTATATACTAATTTTATTAAATCAAATATAACAATCTGTATTGCTGTTAATTCCAATCTATCAAACAATGTTTGAGAAAACTTCTTTATTTAAAACACTTTTAATATTATTACCAAATCTAAATATTCCAAATCAAATCTTTAACTTACAAAATATGGAATTATTACAAATATATCAAACATAAAAGCTAAATTTCAAATATAAATATCTAATTACATGATCTAAAATAATTCTTTGCTATCAGGTATCTATTCTCTACCACTGCTCCTTTATTATAATAACATGTATTGAATTTCAATAATATTTCAAGCATAAAAGAATAAGAGGGCAATACATCAAAAATAATTTCTCTGGCTTATTAAAGTTCATCATTTGCGCTATCATCAAATTTAAAAGCTATTTTGGCTGAAACATATAACACATTAATATTCAAAATTGTTAATATATAAATATTCCACCAAATAGATGCAAGAGATTCTGGTCTTAAAATTATTTTCTAATTCCCAAAATAAATTTTTAATAATTTTGTCTTCCTTATAGGAACTATAATACTCTAACTTAAAAAATATACCAATCTCTAATATCCAGTAGGTTTCTAATATTAATAATAATATATTTATATATATACTTCATATTTAAAGAAATTCCTCTGTTGATAAAATTCAAACTCTGCTGAAACATCTCCTATTATGTCAAAAACATTTTTCTTAATTAATTTAAAGCTTGTTGCAAAATTTGATTTTGTAATAAAGCTTATAAATCTTAATGTAATCATCAAGATCTCTAAAGCTTTTTTTTTCCAAATTAAATTGCTAAACCCAATATTTTCAATCGAATTTTCACTTTCAGACTAAACTGGACTCTCATCTTTATAATTAAGCATGGGTTTATTAGTTTGAAAACTAACTGCCTTCTTTCTTTATAGATGATTGCTAGTTGTACTCAATCTAATTATTTAGAGGTAATACTTATTTTTTGATTCAATAATTATACTTGCAAAACTTTAATGATCAATTTATCTTTATGTCCTTGAGTTCTAATTTTCATATAAAATGATTTCTTGATCTTATTCAGTCACTTTTAATAGAGATCTAACAGAATGACCTTAATTCTCAAGATCTAGTTTATCTTCTTGTAATTATAAAACCAATAATTACAAATTTCAGTATTGAGATGATTAATTTTCATTAAAAAGTTATTAAATTAATATCATTAATTCAATAATAAATAATTGTACTATACTATTATTAATATTTTTTGATCAAAAAAAATAAAAATAAAACTTAAATTAGATTGTTAGTATTAAAAGAAGAACTAAAAATAGAACATAAATTATTAAGTAGCTTATAAAAATTACTTTAAGTCTTAATTGATTATTTATTTATTAATGAAATCCTAAAAGTCATTTTCAAGCAACAAAACTACTTCTTCAAATACTTCCTTCATCCTTAATACTGTATAGATGGCAAGGTATTTATATTATCTATTAAATAGTAAACATATATAATAACCAAACTTTAAAACTTAATAAAAATCAACATCATCATCATAAATCAAAAAGCCCTACATAATGATTTCTCCTAAATTAATTGAGGAATTCGATCAAAACAAAACTAAATAGACAAAACTACTATTTGAAAATCGAATTTCATTGTTGTAGACTACAATACAATTAAAATCAGATACCCAAATTCCAAGTTCGAATGGATAGATACTAACTTCTAGAGTGAGAAAAAGAACAGCTCCGATTAGGTATGTTTAATTTATTAATTTAGATTATCATTACGTCTGCCTACACAACTTTGAGTAATTATTGAAGATATTAATGTGATTTAAAGAATCTATATTATATATATTTATCAATGAGATAAAATTATAAGGACATTCATTTTCAAAACTTGAATAATAATCGATACAATAATTTAAAACTATTCTAAATTAATGCAATTGTTATTCAATAAAGTTCTTTTGAACTATATATTTAATTTATTTGAAGATTTAGAAATCATTGTTTATCATTGAATTAATTCTTTATTAACATATTATATTCTAAATATCAAGTTGAAAATAAATTGATTCATCATTTTAGTATATATTTCTAATTTTAAATAATTATAACCTAGTAGACAATAGAAATAAACTATATTTAATAGATTCAAAACATTAAGATGTATGCCATCGTATTATTTTTAAGTTTTAGGATTTAAATTCTTATTAAAAATAAATTAGAAATAAGAAGGATGGAATACTTATATGTTTATTATTATGTTATTTGTAAGAAGAACCAAGAATTATTATGCGATAGTGGTACTTTTAGAATTGGATTTTGTATTATTAAGAATAAATCAAATCAACTTTAGTGAAAAACTAATTCTTCCTTTATTTAATATAATAGCTTATTGTTTTTTATAGAATATATGATGGGAGATGATTTTAATGAGGTTCTTTATTAAATGGATGTATATCAGAATCAGTTACTAGATTATTTTATGTAGGTGAATTACTGTTGAGAATAGAATCATGATATAAAAAAGGGGGCAGATTTGAAACCATAAACTCTATTATTGAATTCATATAATAATTTAAGATTAGCAGGTTTGAATTATCTGAGATAGTATTAGAGAGAAAGATTGAATAAATAATTATATAGAACTAGAAGTATTAGCAATATATGAAATGAAAAAGTAATATATGAATATATAAATGGAATATAGAATTTCATATATATATAAGAAAATGATATTGATTCATTTAATGATTGAAGTAATATAGAAAAGAAGAAAAGTAAAAATGAAAGATTGATTATAAGGTGTTTATATGTTGATGAAGATTGGGATGATTGAGGAAGTTAACTAAAATAGAAAGATTAATTAGAGAGATGAGGAAAAGATGAATTGGTAAAAGTAATTAAGAATTTCTATGATTAATATATACTAATGTTAAAGTACTTTCATGATTTATCTAATGAGTACTTTTAAAGTACATACAATGCTTAGACTATGAGTAATTGTATCTAAGGTTTATATGAGTATCTGAAATAGGAGAAGAATGAAGATCAATTCGTCTTGAATAATGGAGGAATTAAACTTATCAATCCATTCTAATGGCATTTTGAAAAGTAATATTCAATATGTTTAACATTTAATCCTTAAGGAGATGGAACACTTTTCTAATTTTCATCATCTCATATTGATGGCAAAAGAATCATTGCTAATGGAGTTCATTGTTATATTATGGCTGGTGTCATATTCTATAAAAATGTATATTAGAGATTCACACTTGAAAAAGTTATTGTAGAAGATTATTCTACCAATAATAAATTAGGAGATGCACTTATGAATGCTTGGAATGAATTAATTATTTCACATGAATGTGGAAAACTATATTCCAGACCAAAGTTTATATATTCAATTAATCAGAAAAAAAATAGTGTACAGATTGAGTATCCTAAAATTAGGAATCAAAATCTAGAAATACTTTACTTTTAAAATATTAAATGTAAAGTTAAAGAAATCTCAGTTTATAATGAAGTTGTTGATTTACATCTCAAATCACCATTTTATTAAATCTATCCTATTTATGATCCAAATTAATAAAAAAGAGTTAATGATAGAATCTAAAATGTTGTCTATGAACTCTTAGGAGATACCAAAATGACATCATCATTATAAAAATATGATTTTGTAGAATTTGGAGGTATTCAATTACTTATTCCACTTTTTGATCTTATTTAATATTATGATCATTCTCTAATTGATGATTTATTTCAAATCCTACTTTACACTCTATTATAAGATAGTTAAATCAATAAAAATTAAATTGTTAATATGAAACTATTTTAATAAATTGCTTAAATTATTAAAGTTGATATTCCTAATCTCTCTTACATTTTATAAATTAAATAAAAAATTGAAGACTAAGATATTTTAAATCAACTTTTATTATTAATCATTGATATCAATTTTATCAAACGAGTCACTGATGAATAATAATATTGTATTCTTCTCTAACAATTCTATATCAATGATCATTAAAAATATTTAAAAGTCACATCAATCTAATACCTAGCTCAAGTCTTAGTTAGTGTCAATTAAAAAAGTTTAATTCAAGATCAAATACTATAAATTATGATCTATACCTGTTAATATAACTTTAATACACTAAAAGATCAATTCAAATTATTCTTAAAAGTAGCTGAAGCCTCTACAATTGAACTTAAAATTAAAGCAATTTAAAGTGCTACCAGATTACTTTCAGATTTATTTAGAGATGATTAAGAAAATTTCATTCTTTTCAGAAATTACAACATTTAAAATCAAATACTAAATGATATCTTTCTTCTCTTATAGACTGATAGCATAGATTGCTTAGTAGCTACTATTACATTATTAGGATAAATGCTTCATGGCACTAATGATATCTTAACTTAAGGAATGATCTCATATATTTCTAAAGCTATTTGTGTAAACAATAACATTGATAATCTTTTAAATTCTTTAACATAATTACTCAAAATTAATTGTTTATGTGTTGAAATACTTTAATATCTATATACTTAAACTAGATAATAAAACATTCTTGAGTATTACCTCAATTATGTCAATAAAATAAGTATTGAATAATAATAACTTATACTTAAATAACATTCTATATGGTTTTTAGATTAAATGAAATTTGAAATTAATCATAAAATTCTAGATATTTTTCTGTGTCTCCTAAAATTTAATCCTCAATTTATGTTTTAAATACTAATCCATTTTTAGATTAGAAAAGATTTATCAGCACTTATAACTGTTGTTACTGAAGTTATTGAACTTTTTAATGAAGAACAAATATATTCTGTATAATAGATGATACTTTAAATTTATTTCTCTGTTCAATCATTTAAAAATTTTGAAACATTTTTAACTAAATTAATTAAATATGTTATATATTTAGAAAATGAACAAGAATTATCAAAAATAGTTTAATAAAAAGAACTACCATTTGCTATTCAAAAAGTTATTAATTTAAGTTGTCCAATTGATAAACTAAAAGAATGGTTATTCTATTTTACTAAACTTTTTGAATAAATTAAAAATCTTAATATTGAAGATAGTGAAAACTTTATAAATTAAATCATTGATTTACTTAAAGCAATTCAATCTTAATCTTAAGATTAATAAATAAAAGAGAACATTGAATATTTTTTCACTCAAAATGTTTTAATTCTTCAATCCCTTTCTTAACAATAAGTGCAAATATTTGATTCAATTAAATTTTAGGAAGATTTCCAGATATTGTAAGAATCATTATTACTAGAATGGACATAATAATAATAAGATATTAAAATGGCCTAATCAGAACAGTTATCTAAACTAACTGATGAAATCAATTAAACTGTAGAATCAATGTAAGTATCAGTTTATAATTTAATGAATAAAACTAGAAAGATTAGATAACGATGGTGTAAGCTTTGGCATAATTTAAGAATAACAGCTTATAGACCAACAGATTGTAAATTTTAAGTAGATGAGTAAATTGATCATGATTACAAATTTAAAGAGAATCCCTTTTATATAAATAAAATTGCAAAATACATAAATAAATATTATGCTCGTCCAATTTTAAAAATAAAGTTTAAAAAGAATCCTTAATTTGAGAATGATCCCTAAGTACTTTTAGAAAAGAAATAATAGTATAAATGTTTTTGGTTAAAGAGTTTGTATTTAAAATAAGGTGGTGTAACAATAGGTGAGGATAAAATAACATTTTCTTATTACTAATATTCATAATAAGCAAATCATATTACTTTATTATCACATACAATTCCAAATCATAAACCATTTAAGAAATCATGGAAAATAAATTCAATAAGATGGCTGTATGAGAGAATATATATAAGAAATAGAAATGCAATTGAAATAATATTTAAAGATGGAGAATCATTATATTTGATATTTTAAGATTAAGGATTGAAAGAAGAAGTAATAGAGAGATTGAAAATATAGCCAAAACAATGTGATTTTAATAAAGTGAGCAATTTCAAATATTTGATGTATTTGAATTTTTTATCTTGCAGATCTTATATAGATTTGACAAGATATCCAGTATTTCCTTGGGTTTTAAAAGGAAATGCTTCAGATTTTGATGATAACGATATAGCATCAATATAAAATGAGATAAATTATCGAGATCTATCTCTCCCAATAGGGGCATGTGGTAGTGAGAATAGATTAGATTAATTTATTAAGAGATTTGAAAATGAATAGTTTTATTATGGAACACATTATTCAAGTTAAGCATTGGTGTCTTAATATTTAGTAAGATTGAGTCCATTTACAGAAGCAGCAATATCAATATAAGATGGTAAATTTGATATTCCAGATAGACTTTTTAGATCAATAATGAAATCATGGATGGATTGTAATAATGAAATGGCTGATGTAAGAGAATTGACTCCTGAATTCTTTTATTTACCTGAAGCATTTTTAAATCTAAATGGATATAATTTTGGTAAATTATAAAATACTTAAATTGTAAACAATGTTTAATTACCATTCTATTCAAATAAGAATCCTTTTTATTTTGTGGCTTAAAATATGATTGCATTAGAAAGTGAGTATGCAATTAAATTAAATGAATGGATTGATTTAATTTGGGGATATAAATAATAAGGACCTGCTGCAATTGATTCATTTAATGTATTTTATCCATTGACATACTCTAATTTTGATGAAAACAGTATAGAAATTCATGAGTTAGCTATGGAAACATAGATTGCACATTTTGGTTAAACACCAGAATAAGTATTTTATAAACCACATGCTTAAAAGAATTATTTAATAGATAAAAATTAATGGTAGATACCAAAGAATAAAAAATCATAATGTAAATTAATCTATTTAATTTGTAATAATAATAAAGTTGTTAGTATATAAGAGGATTTTACATTAATTTAATGGTAGATACTTAAAAGTTAATATCAATTGCAATTAGAAAAATAGGTTTAATTACCTCGAGTACGTTTTGATGCAATGATTAGATTCACATAACTACCAATACTTGTATTGATTGAATAATAAATCATATTATTTGGTGGAAATAACAACGGAACACTTACATATTAATGTTTAGATAATTTGAAGATGTAAGGAGTGATTGAACTGGAAAGTGAGATAATAAATAACTATTGCACTGTTACTATTATTGAATCTAACAAATATCAAAATATTGTTATACTAGGAACTAATAAGGGATTTGTGTATTATTATAATAAGGTACTTCAAAATAAATAAGATGTAAAATAAGAGGAATTATTAAAAGGTAAATACGTCATCTATGACACAACATCATAAATCAATTCAATTTCAATTTCAGATAAGCTGACTATCTTTTGTGTAGGAACTTAAGATGGAACTATATTCATATATAATTTGTATAACCGCACACTCTTTAGATATATTAATCATCCAAAAAGACTACCTATTTTTTATTTAAGACTAAGTTATTCACCTTTACCTTGCATTTTGTTTAGTTCACATGATGAAAGGATTATATCTTATTCAATAAATGGGTTCCTATTACAATCCTTATAAGTGAAAGGAAATATAGAATATATTGAAATAAAGAAATCTTCCATAAATACTTTGGTATCAAATTTATAATAAATTTTAGATTGTGATCACAGAAAATAATGTTTATGAATATAGATTACCATTTTTGGATAGACTATCAGTTGTATCAGCCTAGATTTGTACAAGATATGTATAGGCAACAAAACAAATTTCAATATATGGTTGTAAATCTGGTGAACTACGTATAATTTGAGAATTAGTTTAAATAAAATTTGATATATAATATTATATAATGTTGCATTCTCCATTGATTGAGGATCATGATGAAAGATAATAAGTGTTGATAAAACATAGCAAAACTAAAACAATATGGATAATAGTTCGTTATATATTATCAGATATAGTTAAGAGACCTAGATCTTTTAAGATAGGATTATTTACAATCTATTTAGTTGTAACATTTCTAGCATTACTTGAAAGTGCAATCCAACTATCTCCATTAATATTTATTTAATTGGCAGAAACACAATCTGGAGATAGTGACTTAGTATTTGCTCCTGTTTCCTCAATTAATAAATCAATGACATATGAATCAACATCTACCTTTATCAATACAACAGAAATTAATGAATATTTTAATTCGACTTAAGGTATATTTGGATCATCACCAAGATGGTTATTGACTGGAAATCTAATTAATAATAATACTCATGTGTAGAAAATTAATTAGAAATTAAGAACTTTTGTTCTCATACTCAATTAAACTTAAGAAATCAGTATTGGATTAGGTCGTAGATCCACTTAAAATTATATGAATGCAAATTAAGTATAAGTTTCAGCTTCTACTCTAAGAGGATTAAATGCAAGTGTTGGTGATGTATTATAAGTAAATATTGATGTAGATGAATTAATATCATTATTAGATGGAAATACTTAAAGTGATAGTGAATTATATTTTTATTAATTTATTAATACAACTATTAATAAACCTTTAAGAAATATTTTTGGAGATGATTTTGAAAATATAAAAATTCAAAGAGAAGAAATTTAAACGAGAACAGAAGAAATTGTATTCATTGCTGATTAATTAGAAGCCAATGAAGAAATGAAAAATTAATCTAAAGAAATTGTTGAAGATTTCATTTAAGCTTAAAATATTACTGAAAATGAAAAAAAATTATTTTTACAATTCATTGATTTTGAATATTCTAGAAATCTTAGTGAAGATGCTAGAACCTTATAAAGATTTGCATATAAATTAAATGAAAGTGTCACTGTTTTTGAAATCGAATTGGCTATATCTAGTCTCGTTGCTCAAAGTGTCAATTTTACTTTTGATGTTGTTGTCATAGAGTCAATAGAATCACCTAAAGGAAAATGGTAAGATGGATTTAATGCTTTATTAATGGATTAATCTAATGCCACAAATATTCTAGTTGAAGGCTTTCTTTCCAAATTTGAAGAAGTTGTCATAGATCAAAGATTAAATGATAATACTACTATTGGAGCTGTAGCAGAGTTAATACCGATAGATTTTTTTAAGTCATTTATTTAAAATAATACTCAAGATATCTATTTACCAGATTATTCATTATCTTAGAATTTAGTTTTAAAAAACAGGTTAAATATATATTAAGATAAAGATACAATTAAATCGAATATTATTGATATTACAAATTAATTCTTTAAAAAAACTGGATTTAATTATCCTGTTTAGGCAACATCAACTTTAGCAACAGCTGTTTCAAATTATTTTATTATGAAAAATTTCATTGATAATCTAATTGCTGCAGCAACAATGATATTATTAATGTTATCTATACTTTTAATTTATTCTTTAATGATTGGTGATGTAGAAGAGAAGACTTATGAATTTGGAATGTTAAGAGCTTTAGGATTTAGAAAATCATGGCTTATTATCTTATTATTATTATAAGCATTAACATTCGCAAGTAATTTTATTATTATTTTATATCTTTAGTACCAGGTTTATTATTAGCATTAATTACATGTTATATTCTCAATTCTTTAGTATGTATGTTAATTTTTGAGACAACTGATTTGGTTTCAAATTATGTTATTGCAAATTAAGCCATATATTTAGCTGTTAGTTTGGGTATATTGATACCAATTATCAGCAATATATTTCCAATTTAAAGAGCACTATCCAAAACCTTAAGAGATTCTTTAGATTTATATCATAGAACAATTTAAGAAGTTATGGTAAATGTTGTAAAACTAGAGAAGATGGGTATATCTTTAAACTAAACATTTTGTTCATTACTTTTAGTTGCTATAGGTTTTGTTAGTTATTATTTAATACCAATGGCATTCATTTTTAATAATATAACTTTGGGATTAAATATCATTAATATCATATTTATAATCATGATCATAGGGTTTATGCTTTTGGTAAATTTATTATAAGCTCCATTAGAGAGAGCTATATTAAATAGTATTTTATGGATTTGTAAATTTGATAGAAATCTTAAGTAGATAATTTTTAAGAATTTGAAAGGTCATGCAAACAGGAATTGGAAAACAACATTTATGTATTCACTTGCTCTATCGTTTATTTTATTTGCAGGAGCATCATTAACTCTTAATTCTAAAGTAATTGGGGATGCATTATAATCTACATTAGGAGGAGATGTTACTGTATTAGTATTACCGACTGATAAGATTGGTTTAGATGAATATCAAATACGTTAACACTTAGAGAGAGAAAAGCTTCAAGATTCTACATTAATTTAAAGTTATAGTTTTAATGCCTTAATTTTAACAAATTTTCCATTTTGTAGCAGGGTTTAATGGTTTACTACAATGGCTACATTTCCTTGGGCAAAAATTAGATTAGGTGGTGTAGAACCAAATTATTTAGAAACAATCATGTAAGAATATTATCTACCTGATGATTTTGATGATTAAGTTTCTTATCCATAATTAAAAAGTGGTAAAAAAGATGGTGTATATGGACTTTATAATAGAAGTGGAAATTTGGATATTGAAAGTGAAGATGATGTTTTTAAGATTGTATCTACAATGTCTATTAGAGATAGTTATTACAAGGATCTCAATTTAACTAGACCATAATCAAAAGATGAAATAGATAGAGAAATTAATGTAATTATTCCAAAAGGATATAAATATGAAATTTCAGTTGATGTTAATACTCCATCTCTCATTTATTGGTATGGTTATTATAGAATAAATGTTCGACATACAGCATCAAAAGTTCCTGGTTTTTAATTTTCATCCTACAGATAAATTGCTTAATTCGGATAAGGAATAATTTCAATGCCAGATTAATTATATATGTTAAATACATACTTCAGAGGAGATATACAGAATATTTCCAGTATTATTTAACCAAATGTTAGAGAATATTTGAGTAGTTTACCAAAGGGTTTAAGTTATGGATTGCCAAAAACTAGTTTGAGAATAAAATTTGGTAGAAAAATTAGTTAATAAGAGAGAGTAGATTTTTGCAATAGACTTAGAAATTATTTTAGAAATGATTAAACTTTACTATTCGATGTATAGACATTAAAATAGGAAGCAGAAAATGCTTTTTTTTATATTTAGATTTTGAACATAGTTGTTGCTGTGATTGCCTTAACATTATCATTTTTTTTAATTCTTATATCATTTGTAGGGAATGTGAAAGACAATTCATGGGAGTTTGGGGTCTTAAGAGCAATAGGATTAAATAAAAATCAACTAACAAGAATTTATGTTTATGAGGCAATTTCATTAATTACTGCATCTGGTATATTAGGTACTTTCATTGGAATTTCTTTGGCTATATTATTGACTCTATAAATTCTTATGTTTGTAGAACTTCCATTTGTTTTAATGTTTCCAACTGCTACTTTTTTAATTACTTGTCTTGGAGGATTTGTGACAGCAGTATTTGCAAGTTATTTAGCGGTCTTAGATATGAAAGATAAAAGCATTTCAGTTATTTTAAAAGGGTTGCTATGATATTTTTTTAATATTTCTAACAATTTAATGATAAATATTAATACTTAGTATGGCTTAAGTTGATGAAATTCAACCATCTTAAATAGAAACACAGCAAAGTAATTCTCAAAGGCTTATTCGACTCTTTTTTAATTACATTTTGTCTGATATTGCGAAAAGACCACGCTCTTTTAAGATTGGATTATTCTCAACATATATTGTTATTGCTTTTTTAGGATTACTTTAATGTTTAAAGTGTCTAAGTCCTTTTATTTTTCTTTAGTTAGCTGAAACATCTGTTGGCGATACAGATTTATAGTTTTTACCTAAAACTATTACAAACTAAAGCAATTTCAGACTAATCAACATAACTGAATTGCGCTAAGTATTTAACTTATTTTAAGTAGTATACATCTTAAATCAATGAATTTCTAGATATATCTCCAAGATGGTTATTGATTTGTGATATACACAATCCTAAAGCCTAAATCAATTTGACTTCTTTTTTTATGATTCTTGATTCAGAACTTGAAAATAGTATTGGACTTGGTAGAAGATTAGACACTGATATTATTACATCCAATTAAATTTATATTACTTAAGGACTTTAAAAAGGACTTGGTGTATAAATTGGAGATTATATTCAAATTAAATTTAGTGTTCTTTAATTTCTAAAAAATTTAGGATTTAAAACATCAGAAGTTGAATCTAAAAATAATTTAAGAGATTCATTCAAAAATTTCATCAATAATCTCTTATAAATTTCTAATGATGATATACTTTATAGAAAATTTGATGTTTAAACAATTTTATAATTTTCTAAGGAATATAAATATTATGTGAAAGATGTGGAAAAGTCTAAGTGGAAGAAAAAATAAACAAAAAATAGATTTATTTCATCAATTTATAGTTTAAATCTTACTAATCATCAGAAGAGATTAGGTAAAAAATTAGTGGATTTTTTATTCACTAGAAATATGACTAATGATGCTTAGTATTTTTATAGATTTGCTTCTCGATTATCAAAATTTACAAAAGAAGTGACAATATTATAAATTGAGGATGGTTTATTTGATATTGCTATTGAAATGGTTGAATTTTAATTAAATTTTTAAGTTTATTAAAGTGTTTAATCTCCTAAAGGTAAATGGACAGAAGCATTAGGTATGATGGTTTATATGGATTATAAAAATGCAAGTCATATTTTTATGGAAGCTATACTTGATAGACTTGACAAAGTAGTTAAAGAAAAGAAAAAGTACGATAAAGGTATAGCAGGAGCAATATCAACATTAATTCCTGTTTTAGAAACACGAGATACAGTAATGGGCAAACTTAAACATTTAAAACTATAAGAATATTCTTTAATGGCTAATCTTGTTTTCAAAAATAAATATCCTAAATATGAAAGTCCATAAAATGCCAGAGATATTGTTATCTCGACAACAAATTAATTTTACTCAATTGCAGGATACGATTATCCAGTCTCAATAATGGCTCCATTAGGTTACATAATTTAATTATATCATTTAATAAAGCACTTTATTGAAACTCTAATTGCTGCAGCAACAATGATATTATTAATGTTATCTATACTTTTAATTTATTCTTTAATGATTGGTGATGTAGAAGAGAAGACTTATGAATTTGGAATGTTAAGAGCTTTAGGATTTAGAAAATCATGGCTTATTATCTTATTATTATTATAAGCATTAACATTCGCAAGTAATTTTATTATTATTTTATATCTTTAGTACCAGGTTTATTATTAGCATTAATTACATGTTATCTCTTAAATAGTATAATATCTATGTATATCTTCAATATGTCTCTTTTGATTTCCTCATATAGTCTTCCAATTTAAGCTTTATTATTTTCATTAAGTGTTGGAATCTGTATGCCTATCATTAGCAACATTTTACCAATCTAATAGGCTTTATCGAAAACTTTAAGAGATTCATTGAATTTACTTCATAAAGTTATTAGCAACATAAATGTAACTGTTATGAAATTAGAAAAAATGGGTATAAATTTAAATTAAACTATATATTCAATTATGTTAATATCTATAGGATTTATAAGTTATTATATTATTCCTATGAATATTGTTTATTAAAATATTGGATTTGCCATTTTTATACTAAATATTGTATTTATCACAATGTTAGTTGGTATAACAATGATTATAAATTTGATTTAAAAAGTAGTTGAGAAAATAATTCTCCATATTATTCTATGTATAAAATCATCAGATAAAAATCTGAAATCAATAATTTTAAATAATTTACATAGTCATGAGAGTAAGAATGCAAAAACAACATTAATTTATTCACTTGGATTATCATTGATTATTTTTACAGGATCATCATTTGTATTAATGAATTAAATGATGGGGAATTTTATAAATATTAATACAGCATCAGATATTCGTATATTTGATGTCTCTAAAAAATTTGGATTAGATGAATATCGTTTAAGATAACATCTTTTATGGGAGTAATAAAATGATCCTACGTTAATCAAAGATTATACATTTAGTGCATTACCATTAAATAATTATCCTGGGATGGTAAACATTTTTTAGATATCTCCATTGTCAAATTTTCCAAAAAAAAGAATAAATCTTTAGCCAGTTGAAAAGAATTTTTTAAACTCTATTTCAATTTAGTATTATTAACCAACTGAATATAATACACAATTAAAAGATGTGAGATATTTAGAGAATGGTTTAAGAGATGGTGTATATGATCTTTATAATCGTGCTTTTAATTTTGATATATAATCAGATTCGGATGAATTTGGAATAGTTTCTAATCGAAAATATAAAAAAGAATATGAAGCGTCAGAGAAAAAGGAAGGAAAAAAGAGAATAAGTAAGGTTGATAGAGAAATAAATATAATAATACCAGAAGGTTATAGAAAAGAAGGAAGTTTAAGTGTTGATACACCAGCTTTATTAGTTATAAAGAATAAATAATTTAAAATGGAGAAGAGATTAAAAATCATTCATATGGCAACTAAGATTCCAAACTTTGATTTTAGTGCTTATGCAACGATTGTATTTTATGGGTAAGGATTGATTACAATGGAGGATGCTGAAATACTATTTAAAGAGATTATTAACAATAGAGCTGTAAAACGCAGTAGAAATTATAAAATAATTAAATAATTTTTAGAACAGTTACCATAAAATTTAAGTTTTGGATTACCAAAAAATTAATTATTTATAAAATTTAACAGAGAAACAACTACAGAGGAAAGATATGATTTTAATAATCGATTAAGAAATTATTTCACGAATGATTAGATTTATTTGATTGATTCTAAAGAGATAATGAAAACTTTTGATGATGTATTTATTTATTTTGAAATATTCAATGCAGTAGTAGCAATAATTGCATTAATACTATCCTTTTTCTTGCTTTTAATTTCATTTATAAGGAATGTAAGGAATAATTGTTGGGAAATTGGTATATTGAGAGCAATAGGTTTAAAAGAAGTAAATATGAAATATAATTAAATTAGGTGTAAATTCAAAAAATATTTATTTATGAGGCAATTTCTTTGATAATGGCATCAGGTTTAATAGGAACTTTAGTAGGTTTTATAATTGCATGTACATTTGCAATTTAGATTAATACATTTTCTGAATAATAATTTAAATTAGTATTTCCATTGTTTACAGTTCTTTTAACTTTTTTTGGTGGATTAATAGTTGCTGTATTTTCTAGTTATTTGGCTGTGAGATAAATAAAAAGGAAAGAAATTTCATCCATTTTAAAAAATTAGATTTGATAATTTTGATGTAGAATGATAACAATATATATTGATATACAGATATAAATCTCAATCTTGTGAAAAGATTTTCTAATCTACTACCAATCCAAATTCTCCATCAGAAGTTCCAAATGCTAGAATTGTTCTGTCAGGTGATAAAGCAAAGGAACTTATATCATTCATAGATTGTTAACAATCAGTTAATTGAATTTCGTTTCTTTTTTAGAGAAAAGGAGTTGTTAACATTAAAATTTTCTTTTCCATACATAATGGTAAAACCTATATAAATATAAATTATATATACTATAATATCAGTTAGTTTAGAATCTTTAACAACTTTTAGATGTCCTTAATTAACAATATATTATTTTAATTCATAATGAGCTAAGAATTATCCATTAATGCTATATGAATAAATGTTTTTGTTTTCATAAAATGCTATCCCATATAAAGGTGTGCAATAACTACAAACTTTGCTTATAGGTAATCTTTTAGGATGTCTGTAACTTCTTAAATATTTACCTGACCATTAATTATACATATGAATCCAACTGTCACTTGAACAAGTTAATACAACTTTTAAATCATTACATATAAAAATGTCTGTTATTGATTATTCATGATGATGATGCTTACTAATAGGAATATATGTATTATTTAAAACTTTGTAAATTATGAGAGTACCATCTTTACTACCAGTAGCTAATATTCTCATTTTATAATCAAATCTCATAACTGTTATAGTATGTTCTTATTCAAATCTTTATTCAGAAATTAAACCATTATTATATATTAACATTCTTCCATCCCAAATTCCTCCTACTAAAACTTATTTCCCTCTATATAGTATTGGTAATTCATCATAATTGCAAGTCCAATCAAAGAGATTTTAATTCTCTTCAACAAATTTACCAAAATTAATTGGCTATTCTTTTTAATTATTTATATCAAATTTATTATCTTTTAATTCTAATTTAATAGTAGCACATTCTCCATTTCTACGAATCAACCAAAATTTATTATCACTTAAGAATTATATTCTTATAATAGCTTTAGATCTTTAATAATTTGGTGATTATGTCTATGGATTATTTTATTTTTATCTTAAGATTCTTTTATCAATCTTTTCATCTACAACTCTAAACACAACTTTTTATTTTCCTCTAGTTATATGAGGTCTATCCCAAATCTAACTTGGACATTAACCAAAATGTATTGCTTATGATTCTAATGAAATTTTTTATTTTTCATTTTTAATTGAATCCCAATCAATAGAATTTTCATAAGTCAAATAATAAAATGTATTCAATGCTTTAACTGCTTCTTCTCCTTTTTATTTATATCCAAATATTAAATCAATCCAATGACAAATATTTTATGAAACATAATCACTTTCTAATTCCATTCTATGAGCACAAATAAATAAATATGGATTTTATTTAGTCCAAATAGGCAAATCTACATTATTTACTCTTTATCCGGTTTACTGTAATCCATAATCATATTTAGATAAATTTAAAAACATCTCAGGTAAATAAAAGAATTCAGGTATTAATTCTCTGACATCACTTAATTCTTCAACTGCATTTCTATAAGTTTCAACAAATGAAAAAAATAATCGATCAGCTAAATCAAACTTTCCTGATTATAATTCTTTAGCACCATCTGAAAAAGGTTTCAATCTTATTAAATAATGAAATATGATTGCTGGACTAGAATAATGACTTCCATAGTGAAATTATGGAACCTTATTAAAGTGATCTATCATATTATATCTCTATTCAAAAACTTCAATTCTATCTTTACTACCCAATGCTCCCATACTCTTAGTAAGATCACGATATTTATGCAATTATTCGCCATCATTCATTATCCATGGAAATACAGGATATTGAGTTAAATCCTTATTACTTCTTCCAGATATCTTATTCACTTTCATTAAGTACTCAAATGTTGTAATCTTATAATTATACCATTTATTCATAGCCTTACTTTCTAACATAACACTCATAGAATCTAATTTTCCAGATAAAATTCTTGGTTTTATATTTATTGTTCGATGTTTCTTTAAAGAAATCAATTTTTCAATAACCTTTTAATGATCCCCACTTTAAAAATTAAATACAAGAGTGCTACCTTCTAACAAAGTCAACTCCAAAGATGTCCATCTTCCTATATATCTACGAAATTATATATCATAAATTTGATCTAAATCCCATTATTTCACTAATTATGAATCTTCAGGAACTCTAAATTTGATCAAACTTTAATGAGTTTCTTTTTATGTAATTGATTCAAAATAGAAAATCAAATGAGTATCACTTATTCGAAGAGATCCTATTCTCACTGTTAATGTCTTAATCCATTAAACTCTATGTATAATCACTTCATCTTTCTCATTCTATTAAAAATAAAATGGTATTATTGTATCAAATATTATTTCGTGTATTTTCTTTCTCTATCTTTCTGGCTATTTCTTATCGTAATCTGCCAAATTCATTATTCTTGTGCTTTATTGTTAGGATTGCATTATGTTATCCATTTAAGGATAATCATATAACTTTGCTTTGAGTAATGGTCTTGATTTTTATTTAGTTTCATATTTCCACATCTTCCATGTAAATCTAAATTAATTACTTTTTTACATCTAATTTTATATGATATTTTCATAATGCATATCTATTGAATCAAAAGGTTTATCAATTTATGCCTTAAAATCAGGATGTGCCCACCATTAATTGAATACTCGAACTCTATTAAATGACTTTTTAAACATATATCTGGCTTGTCTCATGTAAATTTACTCAGAGTCTATTCTCTATATTTTTTAATCATAAGAATATGTTGATGAAGATGATATCCTAATTTTAATTATATTAATTATTTACATCTATGAAAATAAAAGTTCCTCAATACCCTGACGTTAATATTACAATTTATCCTATAATGTCTTCTTTTTTTATGCAAAAATTCTATAAGATTCTTCAAAATCACATTTGGTTTTTATATAATATTCTTCATTCATAAAAAAGGAATCCTTAATTTTTTACTATAAAGATTGATTTTCTATAAAAACTTATTTTGCAGATATCATCCTCTCCATTATAAGCTTATTATTTAATTTTAATGATTTTGTTTCATAAACATCAAATATATGAGTACCATCTTTTTTAATTAAATCATTTAACATTTTTATTAAAAATAATTTGTGTGATTTATATCCTTCAAAAATGAGTACTTAAAAGGATTCATTTTTATTTAAAATTTAAGTAAAAGAATCAACATATATAATTAAAAATTTAAAAGAATAGAATAAACAATTCCTTACAATTTACAATAATTCCTATTTGATTTCCATATCATAATTAATTTCTTAAATTTTATCCTCCATTTAATAAAGAAAAATGAAATGTGATCCAATAATTTAATATACAATCTTGTCTTAAATTTCTTCAATTTCCTTATCTCTCAAAGTCTCAGATGCTATAATGAGTGTTCGAATCATTTTATCCATTGTGTTCAATATAAATTGTAATTACTTGATATTTTCCCTACTCTACACATTAAATGCAAAATATTCAGCATTTAATTGTAGAAAAAGTTAACAAACTTAAATAAATATAGGAGTTTAATTTTATTCTAACCCAATTTCAAATTCAAACATCATTGCAGCAAATGTTTTTTATGATTCTGTAAGATTTTTCTATTCTAAAATACTTAATAGTCCTTTTTAAACAATCTAATAATCTTCCAAAAAACTAATAATTTAAGTTGAAAATTTGGAACAAAATTAATTTACTATATCACAAATATTGACAACTAAAATATGATCAACCCATTAAATGATTCCAAATTATTGTTTCCATTCTTATTATATAATTAAAAACTTTACTTTTAGGCATTTCCTATTAGGAAATAGTTAATTTAAAGGAAATAGGTTAGAATTTATGGAATTAATAATAATGTTCATTTTCCATGGTTCTAGGATCAGCTGTCACAAGTCTAAATGTTTCAAAAATAATAGAATATAAATTCACCCAAAAAGTTGAGAACAATTCAAACTTAAAGCAATCACTAAAAAATGATAATAAATGATACTTACGATAAATTAGATAATAATTGTTTATATATCAATCTAATTAATAATTAAGTTGCCTATTAATTAGTCGTGTCATTATTTAGTTCTTCCAAAACTCTACAGTAACTTTGTAAATGTAATAATCTAAGAAATCCATTTTTTTCATTTTGAATAGCGGCCTTGATAACATTACAATATAATTTTAAACCACTGTCCCATACCCAGAATTCAAATTAAGAAAGTTCCCTTATATTATATTGATGTTAGATTTCTAAAAGAGTTTCTAAGATCCACCAATGAAACTCTTCATTATTTAATAGAAACATGGCACTAGTCTGATTCCATTTAATTAACATGCATAAATCTTACATAATACGGCCTTTAACAGAATCTACACAATATTGGAAATAACTAATCAATAAAGATAATCCACCATCAGATTTAATAATAAAATTCTCATCTAAAAGAAGTGTATCTGAATTAGTTTTTCCTACTCTTGTTCTTAGCATCCATTCCATGATTGCAACGTATAAAGGTTCATAATCAATAATTCTTCTATTTGGTTAGACAATCTTTTTTTTTTAAATCACAGGCTACTTTTATTTCTCCTCTATTGAACTTTGTTATTCTTCTTATTAATGAAATACCAAAGCCTGATTTATTAAAGGTTTTCTAGGTTAAATATCTTCATCTTCATCATCTGAATATGTATCTAATACTTCTACTGCAGCACTATTTCCTAGAGTATGTGCAATCCAATTTGCTATTTCTTTCTCATTTGCAGATTGATTTATTCGAATGCTCTCTGCTATTAATTTTATACAACTAGTTTTCACATCTGGACATGAACAAGTTGTTAATAAATTCAATAACATTTGCATTACTTCCTCTTAGACTAATATCTAAGATATAGGATTATTGCTCTTATTCTCATATTGAAATAACCCTTAAAGCTTTTTCAGTAATAATTAGTAAAAGCAAGGAGAACATTTTAAAGTGAAGACTCTTGCAATGTCAATAATATTTTATTTTTCTATTTTAGATTATGATTAAAATAATTTATTATGAAGGATGGCATCAATTATATCTAATAATTTTTATTAATTACATACTTAGATAAGAATCTATTAATTAGGAATAAGGTATAGTTGGTAACTAAAAATTTGTATAGCCCATTTGATTAGCATGTTCTTCACAACACAATCTATTCTTTGGATCAATATCATAAATCAAGATTTCTAATATTTTACTTATACCAAAAATTGATATGTAAAATTCAGGATTACTATTATAGATCATCCGGATAAATTTTAAGTAGCCTTCAATTATTGAAAAATCATCTAATTTATAGATTTAAACTCTCCACAACAGATTACAAATGAATTATTCTTTTAACTTTGTATCTTGAATTGAATTATGCAATTGTGAAAGTAATTCAATTGTTAAATTATTGATCATGGAAAGCCCAGAATCATTAAGTTTAAGTGCTATCAAGCTTAAATATTCTGTTCGAATTGCATCCTATTATGATTCTGGTCTTGATTTGATAATTTAACAAATTAGTGTTAATAATTCATTCAGCAAAGAATCATAAGGTTAAAGTCTTAAAAAAAGCAATAGAGGAACAAAATTTTCAATTCTACAAAATTATGAAAATTGTTATTTCTGTGTAATTCTTAAATAAAATCCACTGTATGATTAGAGTGCTCCATCAAATTAATTAATAGGATCAGTTATAAAATTGGCTCTAGCTCTAAGTGGAGTGTAACATAATATTAATTTATTATTTCCATGACATTTATGTAAATTTCTTAAGTGATCATTAGATTATATGCCCAGGTTTTTTTCTCCACAGTTTAAATCACTATATGCATAATAGTAGTTTATACTTCCCATCGAATCCATCATTATAAATTAGTAGGCAAGTGACATAACCATAAAAATTAGTAAAAAATTAAAATTCTATGACAGAAGAATCATTTGAGATTTAGGGAAAGTCAATTTTAATTTCTCTAAGTTATTGATTTCCACAAGTCAAATAGAGATAATAAGATTCTTATAAGAAGAACTTTCTCAATTGAATTTGAATACATAAAGCTGACCATTCTTGATAAGGAATTTCAATCAAACTTATAGGAACTTCATTATGAGGTGCTATAAGAATATAATAAATGAATTTTTACAATTCAAATCTATATATTGATAAACTAATTTGTTTCCATTTAAAATAAACTGGCATCCTTTTTTTTTATCAGACATTAAGTACATAATTTTAGTTTCAACTTCAGACTTGATTTTTAGGGGATAGAGCCATGTTTATAGAGAAATGCCTTTGCTGAAAAGCCATTTCATTTCTCTAGTATCCACCACTAATCCACTATCAATATAATTGAAATAAAATGATGCATATGGAGAATCATAACGATGTTCTGCAAAAACTTTCTATAAAAATAGAAATTAAACATAATACTTATAATAACGATATGAATCTCTAAACTTTTTCATTTGTCAATTCAGAATTATACATTTAATTTTTGATGAAGATAAACATGCTCTTGTAATTTCGCTTTGTCAAAGTGATAGCCCCCAAAAACCAATTGATAATCCTAAATAATTATTGTGTATGCTGAAAAGTAAAGTAAAATTAATACATGTTCATTTGTCAAACATAACTCCAATAGTAAATCTAAAATTTATTCATTTTGATTGTGAATCAATGCTAAAGCTTACAATGAAGAAGATTGTATTAATTGTTACTCTAAATGATCATAAAACTTTTGTTGTTCTTCTTGAGATATTTGATTGACAGATTATAGAGCCTTCAAAAGATGATCAGCTCTTCTAACTATTTTATTTAATTTGTAATGTTCAATTAAGGTTGGTCTGAATTGATCCTCAAAAATGGCATCAATTAATTACATTTTATTAATAAATAATGAACAAAGCATTTCATTTGTTTTTGTTAATGGTTTTAAGTTTTGGAGCTGAATGGCAAACAGGTTTAGACAATGTGATAAAAAACCAACCTTAATTAACATTAACGAGCAATTATCCAATCCACACTCAAATTGAAATCTTATTTGATAAACACTTCTCAGAGTATGTATCTCTCTTAAAAGAGTGCCTGAAGTATTACTCATGTTTGAACATGTAACATTTGAATCAATGTTGGACGTCGATATAAATCTGTCATTAGGATAAGTGACTAAATCTGGTAGAATATTGAATCTCTCTTTTTAGGTTTTGAATTAAGGTATCGTTTAGGAGGCCCTGCAAGAGTTTAATAATTAAAAGTCAGATGGGTAGCATTTGTTGATAAAAATGTATAACTCACGTATCGTGAATTTAATTTCATGCAATTAAGAGAAATTCGCTAAGGTATTAGACTTTCTTCTCTACTCTTAGGTTTTGGTATAAGAGAAGACATATTCACTCATCCTGTTAATGCAAACATCAAATCCCCTAAAGTTAGTGCTTTTCTTGTTGGATTTAAAATTAATCCAGAAAACGGACCTTATTCTCTACAAATTAATTGTGCTCTAGATTAAGAAATGCAAAATGTCAATTTAAATCTTAAAACTAAAGATACTACTCATGTTAGATATGTCAAATTAGCTCTTATTCTTGTAGGAGAAGGATCTAAAGCCATTACCAAATAAGGTGGCATTGATTCAAGAGGTTTCAATTACTTTGAAGTAATTTTAATCTTTAATTTCTCAAGGAATAAAGCACAAGTGGAATTAGAAGAATTGATTACAAACAAAGTGTTCCAGATACATTCTTAACGGCTCCTTAAGACAACATACTAAGTTAAGGATTAAGAGGCTTTGAGGCAAATAGTACAGAAAGTGAACTAATTTCTATGAGTTTGGATAAGTATCATGTATTCGATGACAATTATGAGATGAACTTTGGCCCATGTATGGAGTACTTTTCTATTAAGAGTGAATGGCACTCTAATCTACAGTCTAGATTTCTCCATCTTGTTGCACGAACCAACCAAAATAGAGAAAATGACAATGAGTCGTTTACGTAGGAAATGAGTTTAATAAAATAAATACAAGATACTGGGCAAGTTTAAATTGCCTTTCTTTTCTTTTTCTTGATGTTTTAATTTTTAAAAACTAATTTTGGGGCAAATTTCTTTACTTTTTTTTATTTATACTTATATTCTTATTATTTTTAAAGTTTATATTTTAATGAAATTTAAATCATTCTATGATAGTACTTATAAGAATAAAAATTCTTAATTAGATATGAATAAATGTTGTCATTATGTATATTTATTTTATTTCAAGTGAGATTAATTTGAGATTAAAGTCTAAAGTAATTTATTTTAATATTTAATATTTAATAATTTGTATCAGTAGAACAGAATGCAAACATTTCGAAAATTCGCAAGAGGCTATATGCAAACAATGCTCTATGGTATAGAAGAGAGACCAAAGTTTAAAGTAAAGAAGAAAATTTATGAAATTAGATGGATGGTACATTTTATTTTATTTTGCATTTAATCAATCATTTTCAATATTTATCGATTATTGTGAATGCAAATTAGAATACACATTATAGCGACTTTAAATTAACTTATTCACAAAGTTTTTTAGAGTTTTTTATTTTGAATAACACTTTAAAATCATCTATGACATCAAATTTGGCATTAGCTATTATCGTAATCTCTTTTGTCTCACAATTGATACTTATCTTATTTTTGATCTTTTCTACCTTCATAAGAATATGGACAGCTAATCTTATTAGAAGAGATATAACTGGAAATGATAATATGAATTCCTAAGTATAGAAATGGGTCATGAGTTTTAATGAAACTCTTCATTGGTATTTTGTTTTCTATCCTGTAATTTATCTCTAAATCGCAGTTATTTCTTTTAGTTCCCTTACTTGTAATTCTGTCAGTATATTTCCAAAATAAGAATGCGAAATAGGAATAGGAACTCAAATATTAGCGATTATTCCATTAATTATTTCTTACATAAATGGATAAATTTTGATTTATATTATGAGGAATCATAGATTCCATGAACCTAATTCTTTGAAAAGAAGATATTCTTCCTTATTATTAATAAATAACACAGTTATTCTGATAGAGATATTTTCACATTATATTTTTGAAGTAAAATTAAACCATATAAATAATAGTTTCAAGTTGCCGATATCCTCAAATATTCAATGGCTAATTTTTTTGCCATCAACTAAATTATTGATTAATTAACTAATTTTCCTTACAGAGATCCAATCCGTGTTCCTTCTATTAGATTAGCATTTGTTTACGCTTGGATAGTTTTAGCAGTTACTGCATATAAATTTAACTTTTTTGATTAAGAAAATCTATTCTTCTTTATAATCTTACCTTTGCCAGGATTAGCAATTGTAGGAGAAACCTTATCCTCATTATTTCAAAGTCATGCCATATTAAATTATAACTCTAGTATACAAATAGAAGAGAAACACATCATTATTGCTGTAGATTAATGTTACAAATATCATACTGACTTTTTAAAAGTATTAAAAATTACAATTGAATTTAGGATCCTTAAGCTCAATTGTAATATTTTTAATTTCTCATGATTCATCGTTTGTATTGTAAAAATAATAAATGCTATTCCAAACTCAAACGCTTTGAGACATTGAACGTTGATCAGAAAAAAGATCTTAACATACTGACTTTGAGCATCATCAAATGTATATTTAAGGCAGCCCAAAACTGGCTGTTTTCTATGTACTCTTTATATTAATAAAATAGTCATAATTTAAATGCAGATTTATAATTTGAACAGTTGTAATTATAGTATATTAGTTTTGTATCGGAAATAGCTCAAAAACCATTAATAGGATATCTAGAATTGAGACAATACTAAAATAATAAATTAAATAGTAATTCGACTTATTTTGTCGAGATTACTAATAAGTTAGCAGATTAATTAAAAAAGCAAATAACAGATAATTAAATTAGATAAAATTCCAAAGCTGTTTTGATTCATGAATAACGAACTTAGCTTATTGAAATTTCACTGACTTAATAATGGTAAACATAAAATTTGTATGAAAATTTATTATAAACATATATAAATTTGGTAGATTAAAAAATAGAGCATTGGTAAAATTTAATAAATGGATATCCTAGTTTAAATCCATTTTAATCAAAAACATAAAAGTTATGTGAAAAAATCATGAATGTAATGTATGAAGACATATGATTAGCTTAGAATTGCATTAGATAAGTATATAGGAGTACCTTAAGAATGGTTTGATATGAAAACAACTACAACTAAAGGTATTGCTGTAAAAAAATTAAGTCATGCTTAACTTAACATAAATGTGATAACATTAAAATTATATTCATTGTTTTATTCATTAGTGATGAATGATTTTGACAGAGTAATAATAAGAATGTAATTTAGTCTGTATATGTCGAATAATATGTTAAAGATTTAACATCAAATGATAGACAAAAAGAGATTGACATAATTGATAATATTTCTCTATATAATGATTCAACAACAATTATTTTGGTTAGCATAGTCAAAAATAAAGGCAAAATTGTTAATAAGAATTAATTGGCATTAGCTAATTTTTTTCATTATATTGATGCAAATGATTTTAAAGAATCAGTAGCTTAAGTTCATAATTTATTACCAAAAACTATGATGAAAGGTCATGAATATTTAATTGATGCATTTATTTAAAAAGGTCATAGTGAATATTTTATTCGTAAGATTTCTGGATATTATGAAAACAAAAAAGGATTTATTGAGAAATGCTATGTAAAACTAGGGAATTTATTTGAAGAATTAGATGATTATGTAATAACAGCATCTATATTAAAATGCAATATATCTAATTAGTTGATCATGGTTGATGCTGAAGGAAAAATAATTGGAATTAGTGAAGGATTATTCAAAACTATTAGCACTAAAGTTCCAAACATAACTATTGAGTTTTTTAAAGAATTTTGTCACTTCTTTCTTATTTTCCCATCATTTTTAACTATTTTAAATTAAAATCTAAATTAAATTAGTGAATTAGATCATTAATTTATTGATGATGAAGAACATTTATTTTATATTCCTTCTAATTTAGTTGAACTTAATTCTTTATTTGTAAGAGAATAATATGAGAAAATGGGTAATACACTTGTAGATGGTTTGGAGAGTTAAAATTTAAGTTCTTGGAGATCATGGAAATCAGTATAAAAATCTGTTAAAAGTGATCATTCATTTGGTTTAGATAGAGGAAGTACAACAATTTTGGGGGAAAAAGTGCCAATAGCTGATAAATCTAACATTAATTTTCATTTTTAGTTTATGAATTAAAATAAAGATTAATTAGAGAAGGTATTCATTATAATATAAATATAAAGTATACGATAATTAGAACAAAAATTAAAATGTCCTATTAAATGATGAAAGTTAAAAAATACTCATATCCTTACTTTGTAATTGAATTAGAACATATGAATGAAATTAATTCTTAGCATAAATTTTTTAGTAGATATCCAACAATGGGATAAAACTTTGAAGCTTCTACAACAATGTTTAATTCTGCTTAAAATCATAAATCATTAAATGAAACAGTACCTTCAAGTGCAGATAGATCAATTAATGATACTAAACCAGTTAGTTTTTAGCCTGATAAAGTTAACTTAGAATTAGAAAATAATAGAAAACTAAATAAAAATACTAAAATTACAGATGAAAAAATTAAATAATTAATTTAATAAGATGATAGTAATTTATTATTTGGAAATGACCATTCTTAAATTAGGTTATTTGATAAACCAAGTGCTATAGAAATATAAGATGTTTCAGCTCCTCCATCAGAAATTATGATACCAAAAAATGCATATAGACCAGATTTTAGTGGAATTCCTATCTAAAAAGATTAAGATGATGATTCAGATGAATTTTTTTAACTTCATAAACATTTTGATGTATGAATTAAATTATATACATAGGAAAAACCTTAAAAAGTAGAAGAAAAATAATTATAGTAAGAAAAATCTAGTGATGAATTTAAAGATAAAGATGAATCATAATAAGAAATAGAAGATAATTTTGAAAAACATTCTTCAAACTAAAATATTAATAAGAAAAACTTTATTCAATTATTAGTTGAAAATAAATAAATGCAATAAGAGTAAGTATTATAAAATTTATAATTTATAGAAACTAAAATGAAAATGATGATGAAGATAAGAAAAAAAGATCAATTGCAAGTTCATCAAGAACTAGTACCTCTAAATCTCCTTCATTACTTGTTCGTTCCTTATATTAAGTAAGTACTTTTGGAGGAGGACTTAAATCTGTCATTTTTGCTATTCTATTGTATCTTGTGTTGTAGTTCTGTCTTGTTTTTGTTAAACTAAGCATCATACAAAGTTTTTTTTTATTAATAATTTAGATAATTATGACATTCTCTAAACAAATATCAATTATGTTACATATCCAGAAACTTTGAATTTTTATTTTTAAAAAATTGCATTCTTTGCTTGGATTAGCATTTAAGAAAAGCTTGACATAATTCAGTATAGTGAATTCATTAAAAAGTAATAAATAGAAGAATTGCAAGCTACAAGATAAATTATTGATGTAAAATTAAATGAATTGTACAAAGGAATAATATAATTTGAAGAATAAATAATGAATGATGAACTTAAATTAATTAGCATTAATGATTTATCTTTTTCTGAATAATAACTTGATCTAACTTAATTAATCTAATAAATTTAGCTGCACTCTTTTAACTATATAGATAATATTTAATAAGGTGATATTTTTTCAGATTGTCTATTTTTTAGATTGAATGTACCTTATGTGTACAATTTTGCTTATAAATATATTACCTTATTAAATGAAAACCTGGTTTATTATGAGGATAGAATTATCAATGATATAATTATTTTAACTATGACTTTTATTGCTGTCAATACGAGTATTATATTGTATATTCTATATAATACATATTCATTAACACAATATGAGAGACAGATTTTAATGTTAATTACAAGGGTATCTCATAAAAGAGCTGAAGATATTATGTAAAAATTAACTGATGTGAGAACAATTTTAATTGAGCCTTCATAACTTTTGTGGAAAAGAGTTAATTATTTCGATATAAATTATGATTAAGTTCAATTAAATCAATAAGTAACAAGTTTTTTATTAGCAAAATCTGTCAAAACATAATCAGTAACTAAATCAAATGAATTATCTGGTTAAAAATCTAAAATTAAAACTAAAAGATCATACTAAAGTAATTCATTAGCTTAGAGAATCTATGATCTCTCTCTTAGTTATCCTTCTAACCTTATTTTTCTTTTTTTCCTTTGGTTTTTAGCAATTATATTTATTGTTGGAGGAATTCTCGTAACTATAAGTCAAGTTTCAGATATTAAACCCACACTCAATCTAAATTTATAATTGATTCGATTTAAACTTAGATATGATACTCTAATTGTCTTAGGAGAAAGCCTAAAAACACAGCAAATAATTAGTGATGAATTAAAGAAAAAATTCGGAAATGTCAATATTGATATGAAAAACTAATTAATTTTAGACCTTTTTAGTGAATAAACTGAAGGATTTTAAGATTCTATGAGAAATATTTATGATTCTCTGGCTAGTTAATCTGGACTTTTAGAAGCATAAAAAAAAGAATTATTAATGTATTTTGAAGATAGTCTTTGTAATTATATGTCTGAAGAAATTCCCTTTTGTACTATTAGAGTTTCAAACCAAAACTTTTCTGTTCCTTAATCATTCATTACAACTTTTGGTAAACCATGGTTAGAAGATAATAATTTCGATTATTTATCTGGAGGTATAACTGGTTGTGTTTAAGAATTTACAAAAACTTTAAATTTGTATTTCTCTAAAGAAATTTAATTAAAACAAATGCAAGTGACAACACTATCAGAAACAGTCTCTTATCTAAAAACATAAATTCATTTAAATCAGTTTGTTGAATATTATCTTGATTCTGGTAAGTTGTTGTCAATTATTGGAGATAATTTGTTTGAATAAAATCAATCAAAATTGTCATAAGCTACAACAATTATGCAATTATACATTTATATAACCGGCCTTGGTTTACTAATAGTATTAGGTTCAATTTCATATTTTTGGTTAAAATATGTTAGTATAAGAATGAAACTTATGAGATTAAGTTTGACTCTGATTCCATATGAAATTTTATTGGAGCCAAAGACAATGAGTTCTTTAAAATAATTATGATATATATACTAATAAAAGTCTTTAATTCTTTTCTTATATTGAATATTTTGATAATTGAATTTGAAAATCTTAAAAAATGTATTTGATAATTTAGTACAATTATTAAAATAAATTAAAAAAAGAATTATGATAGCTAAAAGAATTTTTAGATTAGGTTTAATCAGAAAATATTCAATATTTGAATGCTAATTTGCTTATTGTATTAATAAAAATAATATAAATTTTTAATTGATGGATTAAAAAGCAGAATAAAAATAAGAAGAATAAGTTCAAAGTAAACCATAATAAAAATAATAATAATAATAATAAGGAGAATAAAAACAAAAAGAAAAACAATTATCTGTAAAAAATCCAAAAGGAACAAGAGATTTCTTACCTCAATAAATGGTGATAAGAAGATAAGCTTTTAAGATAATTACAGATGTATTTGAATAGCATGGAGCAGTGGAAATAGATACTCCAGTTTTTGAATTAAAAGAAACATTAGTAGGTAAATATGGTGAAGAGGGAGGGAAATTGATATATGATCTTTAAGATTAAGGAGGTGAGATTTTATCATTAAGATATGATTTAACAGTACCATTTGCTAGATATTTAGCAACTCATGGATATAAAAAACTTAAAAGATATCACATTGGAAAGGTTTATAGAAGGGATAATCCATCAATATAACAAGGAAGATTTCGTGAATTCTTTTAATGTGATTTTGATATTGCTGGAGAGTACTAATTATATTAATTATTATATTAGAAATGATCCAATGGTTGCTGATGCAGAATTAATTAAAATAATTGACCAAATATTTAGTAAATTAGATCTTGGACCTTTCTAAATAAAAATATCAAATAGAAAATTATTAGATGCCATGATATCAATAGCTGGAATTCCTAAAACATAGTTTAAAACAGTTTGTTCAAGTATTGATAAATTGGATAAATAACCATGGAAAGAAATTAGATAAGAATTAGTTGAAAAGAAAGGTGTTACTGAAGAATAAGCAGATATATTAAGCAAAATGGTTTAATTAAGAGGAGAGCCTTTCTAATTAATTTAATAACTTAAAGATTAGAAGTTATTTGAATAATAAGGAAAAGAAGCTTTAGATGAAATGGAATTATTTTTTAATTTATTAAAGTATATGAATGGATTGAAAAATGTAATATTTGATCTCTCTTTAGCAAGAGGACTTGATTATTACACTGGTTTAATTTAAGAAACTGTATTATTAGGTGGATAATTGGGATCCATTTCTGGAGGGTATTATAAATTATTTAATTTATTAGTGGACGTTATGATGATTTAGTAGGAATGTTTTCAAAAAATAGTATTCCATGTGTTGGTGCATCTATTGGAATAGAAAGAATATTTGCTATTTTAGAAGATAAATATAAAAAGAGTGGAGTAGTTTTAAGAGAAAATTAATCAGATTGTGTAGTTGCTACTATTCCATCTAAAAATATTGATATGACTGCTGAAAAGTTTAAGATTTATGATTTATTATGGTCAAATGGAATCAAAGCTGATGTTTGTTATAAATTAAATTGGAATCTAGGAAAACAATTAACTTATGCTAATGATCAATAAATACCTTATGCTATTGTTATTGGAGAAGATGAAGTCAAATAAGAAATTGTCAAATTTAAGGATTTAATTGAAAAAAAGGAAGAGACTATTAATTTAAAGGATCTTGTTTAAGTTCTTAAATAAAAAGTTGGAAAATGAATATATAATATATACAGATATTTCAGTAACATATCTATTAAATCATTATTGTTCAATATTTTATTATTCCTTACTTTCCTTTATTATTTCACATAATCTTTACATCAAATATATATTTCTATGCATATATAAATCCCAATATGTTAAATGTCCATTTTAATAAACATCCATCTCTTACATTAATCTAAAATAAATTAATATATTACTGTCGAGCAAACTAAAATTCATGTTTTATTTCCAATTATTAAAGATCCATTAATGTAATTCCATTTGTAGTACATTAACTATTTTTTAAAGATTCAAATATTTCTTTTATGTAATTCTTAGGTTATTCCTATTATAAACACATTCCCTCAAATATAGCACCTGTTTCTCTGTAATTAATCCAATCATCTCCATCTTTATCAAGTACTTTAAATAATTCATCAATGTCAATTTAGATAGGGATTTACTTAAACTAATTCTAAAATTAGAAATAATTTATTCTAATGTAAGCTGAATCAGGAAATAGTAAAGTGAATAAATATTCTGGTGTTGTGTCTATATAAAGTACTGATTTATAATTTGGTACATATTCAGGTTTATCCAATTTATGTAAAAGTGTAGGCCAATTAGTGAATATATGTTTATATTGTGGTTATGCTAATAATTAACAATCTTAGTAATTAAAAAAACTATAATGTTTTTGAGTATCATTAACTAAATTTTTCTCTTTGGGAATTTATTCTAAATTTATGTAAATATTTTATTATTAATCCTATTGTTAGGTAATTGTAGGTTATAGATATGAATGAGCTGTATTAATTTATAGATAACTAGAATTTCTACTTGAAAATAGTTATGTTGGCTTAATGTCATTTTTTAAAGTTTATTCTTATAATTATTATTATTATTATGGAGGTTCTGTCATTTATTTAAGAATACTTTCATTTGAAGATTCTGATTATATATCATCATCATCTTCTTCATTTATATCAATTTCTTACTCTAAAAATTATTAATTTTAACTATATTAAATTGCACTAGTTTATTAAATAGTTTTTGAATCCCTTTCAGATTTATCAAGATTTATTTGAGTTTATTATTGTTAAATATACTATTGAGAATTGGTGGTATAAAACTATATTTTTTCAACATCTTTTGATTCATTTTAATTTCTATCTGAAAGTATAATTTCAGACAGTTAAACATCATTTATTAATTCTTTAGTTTTAGCTAGATTGATTATTTTAGGTGATGAAGTATCTATAGATTTCCATAAATCAGGACATGATTTTTTTTGACTATTTTGAAATTATTAAGGTGGTTGTTAAAATATTTTTTAATTTTTATTTGATGATGGAGATTAACATTATGGAGCTTTTTCATTTTCTTTTTCTCCTTTTTTGCGTAAATATTTACGTAGTTCTGTTGACATTTCTTTGGGATTATTAATTTTTTTATAATGATTAAGTATTTAAATTACATCTTGATTTCCATCTTTTACCATATTTCTTAATATTATTCGATCATCTTTAAAAATAACTATTTATTATAGAAAAAGTGTACATACGTGTGCAATTATCTATGAGTGTTAATATTTCTAGGTTATCTGGTTTTTTAGGATTCTTAGCTGTTTATTAGGATGTTTTTCCAAATCGAATCATAAAATTAACTGTTAATTACAATAATATAATAAATTCATGATAATGAATGTAAAATAAGAATTAATTCATTAAATTACAGATGAATCAATTGATCTACAAGTTGCAAAAGATTTGTTATCAGAAGCAGTTATTGAGAATCCAAGTAATAATAATAAGGTATAATAGAGGTTCTTGGGGAAATTTTTGAATAGCAATTAAATATCCACGCGCTATGCATTTTACATTACTCGTTGAGAGAATATACTCCTCTTTCATCTTTGATAGCAGAACAATTTCTCAATAAGAATATCTGCGTTTAATCTTCAATTGTTAAGATCTACTATTCTTATTTGTAAAAGACAGCATCTGTGCATGAATTATATTAAGCTATTAAGAATTCAAAAGTAGAAAAACTTGACAATCCCTAAATAGTAGTAATTACTGCTCATAAGGTTTAAAATTTATCAAATGTGGCACTTCAATTACTTTCATTATATACACCCACTTTTAAAAATATGTAAATATAAGTCTATGAAGATGTGTACGATTATGCACAATTTGTAAAAGATTAATTTATTCATATCATAGGTATTACTATTAAAATACTTTAGATAGTTATCCAACATTCTCATCATCTGCTACAATTAGTTTATATTAAATTTATAATGATGTTTTAATATAAGATGCAGAATTGCATGATTTTAGAAGATGTTGTAATGATGATACTCTTAAAGAACCTATCAAATTGAATATTTAAGAAACTCTTTTGTCAGATTTCTTGAGTCTTTCTTCATCCCTAATGCTTGTTAGTGCAAATACTTTAAGACCCCTCAATATTCCAACTAAACTTTTACCATGTGGAGGCTAAGAATAACAAGTAATGAGATATTACAAGAAATTTTATTCAATTAGTTGATTTATAATTAAAATATTAAATTATTATTCCACTGTTATCAAGTTTTTCCTTTATTATCATTTTTATTCAGAAAAAAGAAAAATTTATATTTCATATCATTATTTTATTTTAGATGAAAAATTTAATCAAAAAAGCTTTCTTTAATACATTAATCCCAAATAAAATAACATATTTAAAAAGTTATGATATTAATCTATCGTTTCCTTTTATTCTTTTTTTTCTAATAAGCCCATATAGATATTTAAACTTTGGTTCAAAATATGCAAAATGATTGAAAAATAATTAAAAAAAAGATTCCAATTCTTTTAGATAAGAAATTAATATATCTAATGTTCGAATTGTTGAGCTATCATTTAAAAAAAATATTCTTTTAAAACACATGAATGAAAGAAAAAGAATTTTTAATTTCATCCCATTCTATCTTCTTCAAATATTTTTATTTGCCAATTTAAAATTTTTTTTACCTTTTTTACTTTTTAGATTGTTATATAATCCTCAATCCTCAAAATATTTTAATGATAAATCTGGTATTTAGAATCATGGCTTTTGATGGTAGCAGAATTATAAAGTTCTATAGTCTAAAGAGATGTAATTCAAGGGGAATACATTTTTAATCTCATATTCATAAAATATTGATATTAATAATTCATACTGATGACTTGTGAATAAAATTAATTCATTAGAAAGTAGAGGTATTTGTTTTCAATATCTCATCCAAAGTTTTAATTAAACAGATTGATCAAATAATAAAATTTATTCAAATACTTATTAATTTAAAATTAAAAATAAAGTAATAATTCTTAAGGAAATAAATTTAAATAAATTATGAATTCATGAATCCTAATTAAACAGATTACTTTATTCATCTCTATGAACATATTTGAAAATCATTTCTTTTTTATCATATATCTAAAAATATTAATAAAAATTTTACATCCTCCATTTCTTTAAATGCTTATAAAAGTTTATCATTGTATGGGTAGAAAATACCTTCTTTATAATTTACAAAGTTAGCAGATGCAGGAACCCATTCATTAAAATTTTCATGAAGATCATTATCAATTAGATTATCAATTTACTTAACATCTCTTATTCCCTATTACAAGAGTTATCTTAAAGTAAAATTGTTTTTTGCTGCTTCTAAAATTTCTTATTTATCAAGTTAACCATCTCCATTGATATCACATTCCATAAATATTTTAGATATAGTTTTTTTTAATTTTTATCGGTCACTGAAAGAAGCAATATTTAATTTCAAAACATTATATAATTCTTATTCAGAGATGGATCCACTTCCATCAGTATCACAAATTTCAAAAAAAACCTTCATTTTTTCTTCAATAGAATCTTCCTTAAATACTTCTAATCCAACAATTAATTCCTTATAATCAATAGTACCACTCTGATCTTCATCGAAAACATAAAATAGTTTTTCTGAAAGATCAGTACCCAATCCTACAACACTTAATAAATCTGTAAATTCAGCTTTATTGAGACCATTTTACTTCTTTTTTGCATATTTAACCATAACTTGATAATTGCTAAAGAGCTAAGTAATAGCCTCTTTTCTATTTTTTAAAAGCCATTATATAGTTTTCCATTTCATTTTAAACTTTGATCTAGCTGTTACTTTTTTAGTTAGATTGAAATTAGAATGTTTTTATGTTTAATTATTTAACATTATCGATACACTACCTTTTGGAACTGATACTGCTTTTTTGATGTTTCTGTTTTTCTCTGTATATTTACATTTATTCTATAATTTCTTATTGTATACCAACTCTTGAATCTTTTCTAATCTCACCAACTATGGATTCTTGCATTAATATTTATATCCTTCATTTCAAAATTATACTTACGTTTCATTTAAGGATCTTATTCAGATTCTAATATTACACTTAAATCCTAACTTTAAAAGCGAGTTGGCAATTCAATCACACTGTTTTGGCTTTTCTAAGAAGTTAATGATCTTGGTGAAGGCTATATAGAATGACTCACTTAGGAAGAATTCATATTCTATTTAGGACCATAACTATGATCTAATGCATATGAATGAGTTTTCATAAGAAAAAGTTTTTATTTCATGAAATTTAATAATAAGAATAATTTTGTAAAGTCTTTAATAAATTCTGTTGAAAGAAAAATAAACCTATAGAATTATAATTAAATAAACTTAATCATAATAAATATATTTAAAACATTTAATTCATTACTACTCTTTTTCAATTTTCTTAATAAGATCCAAAGTAAAATCCCATAACTGTTCAGCTCTCTTTTTAGAAGTGTATTTTGGTTAAGATAATTAACAATTATCATAATAACCTCCATCTACGAATTAATCATCATTCATCATAATACAATATAGGGTAGTTTGACATCCATAATAACAATCCTTAGTAAAGTAGGCAAAGAATGGCCATAAAATCTTTAATAGCCACTCCGACCATTTTGTTGATAACTGAAATTACAACACTTCACTTCTAACAACACCTGGATGCAAAGAGCATGCTTTGATACCTGTTCGTTTTGAGAATTCTTGAGCATTCATAATAAGGCTTAATTTGGTATTGCCATAAGCTCTATAAGTATAAATTCTACTCCAAAGTATACTATTAGCCCATCTATCGCAATTTATGTCTTTTAAGTCTAAATCTTCATATGTATGGGCAACTGAAGCTATGTTGATTATTCTAGGACTTTCTGATTATTTTAATAATGGTATCTAATTTTAATTATTATATTTACCAATTGTTAAGTTAGATAGAAGGGCCCAAGATAATTTGTTCCGAATTAAGATTCTAAACCGTATTATGTTAATTGTCTAGTTAAGGTTCCCATTATTGCAGCATTGTTGATTAAAAAGTCTATTTTCTTCACTTCTATCTTTAATTATTCAATAAATTGTTTTATAGAATTCCAATTTTATAAATCTAATGGAATATATTTAATTGTTGCTTTAGGATAGTATTTATTCAAATGATTTAAGAATTCTATTGGTTTAGTTCTACTTCCAAATACTATACTACAATTATGCTTTGCTAATTAACGAATAGTTTCTTAGCCTATTCCTTTGCTTCCCCCTGTTATGACAATTACTTTCTTTGAAATATCTCGATTAATTTTGCATTCTTTTCCACGAAAATAAATTCTGAAAGCATATCCTATAGTAAGAGCAAGCAAACTTAAAATTAAGTATAACCACATATTTAATTTTAATAATAATATTATTAAACAAATCCATTTTCCTTTATTAAATTTTAAGAATTCCGAATATAAAACAAGGAAATTATTGATAAACATTCATTTTTATATAAATATGAATAATTTAAAGATATTTTTTTATGTTTTTTTTTGACAACAATTTTTTAGTAATTAATTTAAACAAAATTCTGCTTGAAATCATGTTCTTTATTATGTTATTAATATATATAAAAATATTCTTCATATTAATGATCATCATATAAGCTTTAAATAGCCTTAAAAATTTGAATAAATAATCAGTTATTTTTTTAAGGTTAGTTATTTTTGTTTATTATATTTGAATAGTTAAAAATATTTAGTATTCTAAGTGATATTAGAAATATGATTTTATAGATGAATATAGGAAGTCCATTGTAGGTAATATTTTAAAATAACAAATATTTAATATATTAATAATAAATGAATAGAGCTTAAACAGCTGGTGAAGGATTTAGATAGAAGAAGACAATGTCATCAACAGGTTTAAAATTTCGACCTAGTACATAATAAATAAATAGGGATGTACACTATAAAGATTCATTGTCAAATAACGAGGTTATTGAAATTAATCCAGATCATTTAATGTAAATAGTGGTTTTATAAAGTTGTAACTTAGATTTTACAATATTCGCAAACAGATTCCTTAATAAAAGCAGGTGATTGTCCGTAACCTTACAAAAATACCAAGAAGAATAAGGATTACTCAACCAACAACTGCTCGATTCAGAGTAGACTATGACATGCAAGGGTCATTAGCAGCAGGTTTATCTATGATATTAGTGGTGTATTTTGAATGTACAGTAGTAGAGGATTATCATGATGTTTTTGTAATCACATCAGAAGATGGCTTTAAATTTAATGTAAAATTATCAGCATTAAAACCACAACCATTCATTAGATTTGATACATTTCTAGATTTAGGATATTGTTAAATTAATAAAGTAAAAGAAGGTAGGATTAGATTTGAAAATGTACCAAATGAAGAAGATGAAAAAAAGAAAAAAAAAAAAGGAGATAAAGATAAAGATAAAGAAAGAGATTCAGAAATAGAGAGAGAATTGACAGCTAAAATCACTCTATAAACTCTACACAATGATAAACTTAAATTTGAACCAACAAATTTTTTTGTCGTAAAACCAGATGAAACTGTAGAAATAACAGTTAAATATTAAACCAATTAAGCAAGCATATTTAGATCTAGTATTCAAGTTGTTAAACATTGGAATAATAGTATAGAAACAATTGAAGTCTCTTGCATTGCTGTTGATTATTCAATATTTTTTATAGATTAAAATCAAGCATAGAGTACTACAATAGATTTTTAAGAACTTGTTATGGGATACCCAAAATAATATTTTGGATCATTAGTAAATAATACACCAATAAGATAAAATTGGAAGGTATTAATAAAGAAGGGATTTCATACTATGACATCTTCAGTAGGAGGATTTTAAACACCTAATGAAGTTGGATTAGAATGGTTAGAAAAAGTAATTAGAGTAACACCAGAGAAAGGTTCAATGGAACCATATGCATAGATGCCTATTAAAATTGAATGTAAAGGTCCAGTAACTGAAGAAGGAAAAATGAGATGTGAAAATTATGCATTCTAAGATAAATCCAATGATAATTTAAAGTATGAAGCTCCTATTGATTTTGGATATTCTTTATTTTTTGAATTTTTTGGAGAAAATAATGATGAAACTCTTATTGTTCATGCATAAGGTAAGCATATTAGACCACAGGTTAAAGTTAATAAATAAGCTTTAGCATTTGGAGAATGTTAAGTTAATGATACAAGAGATGCAATACTTGTTATAGAAAATACTCATAAAAATTAAACTATTGATGTTACTTTTAGTAAAGCCCCATAATTTTTAGTTTCCCCATTACAATACTAATTAGGACCATAAATGAAAAGATAATTCATTGTTACATTTGCACCTAAAAATGTTGGTAGAGTTAACTCATCATTGAATGTACTTTTAGTTGATTCTTAATATCCTATTAAAATATAATTAAGTGGACATGCTAATTTCAATCCTGAAAAAAGACCTGTTACAAGAGGACCAGAAGCTTTACCAAAAGATTTTGATTTAGATAGGTAGTTTGTAGATGAAAAATAATTACAATATATTGAAATGAGAAGGGTTGAAATTAAATCAGAAATGCAACCAAAAAGATCAACTAATTATGTTGGATTATTATTTGAAGATGAAAGTGAATAAAGTTTACATTAATAATAATAGAGAATGTAAGGTTTGAGTGAATATGAATAAGAAAGATATGCAGAAAAATTATAATAATTTTATTAAACAAGATAAAATTAAGATAAATATAATGAGTATTTAAAAAGTGAAAGATAATCAAGGTTATAGAAAAAAAGAGATAAAATTCTGAATATGAGAGTTGAATCAATGCAAATGGAGTTGAAATAAAAGTTTTCAAGTACAGATGATGATAAGCCAATTGATATTGAATTTAAATTGGGAATAATGGGAAGAGAGACAGACGAAAATGATCCAGAATTACCAGAATATTGTGATGGTTTATTTGTCACAAAACCTATAGACAAATATGAGCCATTTACAAATTAAAAAAAGTTATTTTAACCAGATCCATTATAACCAATGCGTAAAGCATTTCCTTAGGAAGCATAAACTCATAAAGAAAAAAGGGAAGTGGCTATGGAGTTAACAGGAGAAGAATTAAAAAAGATATAGGCTGGTCCTGTAGAAATTGATTTTGGGAATGTATTTGTAAAAAGTGAGATAGCGAGAACTTTTCACATAAAGAATGATTTAAGAACTAGTATAAGTTGTTAAATAAGTACAGAAAAGCCAGAATTGGAGAGATCTTATACTAAAATGTAAATAATTCCATCTTCAGATACAGGTAGATTTAAGATAGTACTTAAATCTGATAAATTGGGACCATTTAATGAAAGAGTATCTTATGTGATAAATGGTAAACATAAATTTGAATTTAATGTTAAAGCAGAAATTTAGCATGTAAAGTTAGAATTATCATCATTAAAATTTGATTTTAATTTTAAAGAGGAAAACATGGCATTAGAAACATTTGAGACAATAAGATTACAAAATAATGGAAATGCTACAGCATATTTTTAATGGTAAATGAGTGAGTAGAAAGTATTTACAGTAAATATAGAGAAAGGTGAGATTTAATCAGGAAAGTTTTTGGATGTTTAAATAATATATAAACCTTCAAATTATATAATAAAAGAAGATAAGCCATAGCCAATATAAGGTAAGACAAATTATTATGTATAAATAAATAATCAGATAAGATTAGATGAGGATAAATTGATATTATAAATTAAAGATGGTTTGGATTAGATAATAAAAGTGATGGGTTAAGTGAGTGATGCAAGATGCAATATTAAGCATTCAATAGTAGATATGAAGGAATTGTTGGTATGTAAGACTGAAGTAAAATATTTTACAATTCGAAATGTATCTAGAGTGAATGCCTTTTTTTCAATATTAACAGAGAAATTACCAGCTGCTTGTGATATATCTCCAAGTAATGGAAAGATAGGACCAGATGAAACAAAAGATATAACAGTTAAGTATATGTCAAAAGAATAAACTGAAATAAAGACTGATATTTAAATTATAATAAGAGGAGGAAGAATATTAAAGATTCCATTTTAAGTTAAGACAATTATACCTGAAGTAGAGATAGTGTAGGATTAATTTGATTTTGGTAAATTAACGACATTAGGAAATGAAGGTTCATTGAAAATGACTTTGTAGAATAATTCATCAATATCAGCGGAATTATTATTGAATTTAGATAAGGATTCTCCAGAAGCACCAAATGGAATCGAATGTTTATAAGTAATTCCTGTTGATGATTTGGATAAAAGTGTATTAAAGAGTATTCATGAAGATGAAAATACAATAAAATAAGTTGTAGATAAGAAATCAGAAGAAGATGAACTTGCATCTGAAGCTATATCATCTGCTGATGAAGATGAATTAGAATAAAAAATAAAATCTAAATCATACATTTTAACTATTTAAGGAAATTCTAAATTAGAATTTTATTTAAAGTTTAGTCCAAGAGATGTACAAACATATACATTTGATCTTCCATTAACATTAAATAGATATGGACGTCTTTTAAGTTTAACAAGATAGATAATTTGTAGAGGCTTAAAACCTAGATTTGTAATGGATCCTTAATGTGTTGAATTTCCTAGAAAAATAATTACATCTTTAGAAAAATGTTTTGCTGCTACTGTAGAGATAACATTAAGTAATCCAGAAAGGAAAGCAGTTTTTTGGAGAATGGATGTTACATCAATAACATCAGATAAGATATTTAATATTACTCCAATAGAAGGTAAAATTGATTCTGGCTAAACAGTGAAAGTTAAAGCTTCATTTAATCCTTAAAAGGCAGATGATTATTAAAAAAATATTCCTGTTTATATTGATAGTTAAGAGAGTTGTTATTTAGAATTGATTTTAAAAGGGAAAGCAGCATAACCTAAAATTTTATTTGATAGAAGAGAAGTATTGTTGCCTCCAGTTCCGTTAAATATTGAATCGAAATGTTCATTTAAAATATTAAATGATGGATATGAAAATTTAAATATTAAACATAAAGTTTTTGGTGAAGAAGGGAATATTAATGTAAAATTAAGATTTCCTGAAGGTTCAAGTGTTGGTATGTCTAAAAAAAGATTGAGAGTAGATGCATTATTTTAATCATCAAAATCTGTATCTTTTACAACAAAGATAGAATTTTATGATGAAATGGGAAAAGTATATACAATACCTGTTTCTGGAACAGCAGATAATTGCTTACTTACAAGTTTTAGTTATTAATAAAGATGTGCAAGTGAATTTAAAATAGATGAGAAAGTTACTTAAGGTTAAACAACACCAGGTCCAATTTGTTTAATGGATGATGATGATGATGCTAATTCTGATATATAAAGTCCACATAAAAAAGGCGCTCCAAGTGTTATAAGTTATAGATCTTTAAGTTCAATGAGTAATCAAACAACTGCAAGTGCTTTAGGATATATTCCTATTCCATAAGATTTAGTTGAATAGAATAAATAGTATGCAACAAAATGGTTGAAGTTTTTCTTATGGAGTGCTAATATTCATGCATTTCCAGAAGGAGTTATAGAATAAGATGGTTAACCTATTTTTGAATTAACTTCTGTTTTAAGTGGAAAATCATTACCACTCCCTTGTCAATCATATTTAGATAAGAATGCTAAAAAATAAGAGAGAATTGCTTAATTATTAAAATAATATGATGATTTCATCAGAATGTTAAAATCAGAAGGAGCTTTTTTAAATCATATTCGTCCATATCATCTTCTTAGTTTTAGTGATTTAAATGCCTCTTTTAAATTATTGTCAGAAGAAGAAAAAGAATAAGTACATCCTAGTGTTCTCAAAATTAACTAACAACGATATAATTATATATCAATAGATTCTTGGTGTGCAGTTTTTCATTAGATTTTAAAAATTTATGGATTATAGAGAATTAATATTAAATATTTTAAATAAATTCCAGGTTGGGGAGATAAAACATTACCTGATTACTATATAAATGGAAGTAATGTTTATTCTCCTTAAGAAGGATTATTAATGAGATGGTTAGAAGTTTGTGCTGAATCTGAAGGACATTAATTTCCAAGATTGAAATATTTTGAATAACTGAAAGATTGTCATTATTTTGCTGCTGCTTTATAACATTATGTAGGACCATCTTTAACCAAATATTTATCTGGTCTTAAGATTTGTGAAACTATTTAAGATTATAAACTTAATTCAAATAAAGTTTAAGCTGCTTTAATGGATATGAAGTTTTCTATTCCTTTTGAATTAGCGAATTTTGCTGAACCAAGTGGAAGAGAAATGCTCATTTTAGTCTTACATTTATTTAATTAATTACCTAATTATTTAATTAAAGGAACTGAAGTATTTTCTTGTGTTTTAGGTTAATCCATATCTAGAACTTTATTAATTACTAATAAGAACAATAGACCAGTATCTTATTGGGTTAAATTAGAAAAGGAAGAAGATTTCAAATTAGAAGGAGGTGATCATATTAAATTAGAACCTAATTAGCATTTACAATATAAAATTAAATTTGTATCCAGAATTTCATAGCCTGTACTTGATAGAATTACTTTCATGCCTAAAAGAGAACATAATTTATTTACTGCTGCTATTGTTTATGATCTTAAATCATCAATATTAGGAAGAGAAAGTAAATCAGTAGAAGAAGTTAGTTCTCCTCTTTACGAAAGCAAAGATTTCTATCTTCAAATTTCAAATGAATTTACTAAATCAGAATTTGGTAATTTTACTATTAAAATGATATTTGAAAAGGTTGCTGATACAAATAAAAGAAAACCCATATAAAATAATAATAATAAATCTTAGTAAATTGAATAACAGAAAGAAGTGTTTCCAGCAATATTTTGTTAATCTGAAGTTGTCAAAATGAAAAAAGGATCATAATTATAATTATAATTAAGATATGTTCCTATGGTTTTCGAATAATAGAGATGTTTTCTAATATTCACTGATCCGAATGTAGGTGAATTCCAACATGAAATTTTAGCTACTGCTGAATTACCTGAAATTTAATAAGAAATCAAATAATATTAAGTATTTGTTGATTAACCTGCTATTATGGAATATATGATTCTACCAAAAAATGAACAAATTTTTAAAGCAAAAGATTCCATTCTAAATTATACTAGTAAAAAAGCTTTACCTTTACCAGGTGGTGAACCTGAAACTATTAATTTTGATGTTGAATTAAGTAATCATTTCGGATTTCTAACAGCTCCAAAATAATTCACAGTTTAAGATCTACAAAAATAAAAAGCCAATCGAGTACAAAGAGAGAAATTGGAAAAACAATAATAATTAGAAAAAGAGAAGATGATGTAAGCATTATAATAATAATAACCATAATAATAATTATAATAATAAGGTACAAGATAGAATACTGAAATTAAAAATATTTCTATGATAAGCAATATTACAGCTAATCCAAATAATGCTACAACTAATATTTCAATGTTGCCTGATGTCAATAAAATGCCTTTATAATTTTTATTTAAGAATCCTGTCAAAGATATGCCAATAATTATGACTCTTAGAAGCAATGATAAAACAGATGTAAGAAGATACAAGTTTTTAGTGACTGCTTTACCTAAACCTACAAAAGCTTAAATGGAAATGAGATGTCCATCTAGAGAAAGCATAGTTTAAGATATTCCTTTTTCAAATCCTAGTGATAAAGATTGGAGTTTCAAATTCTTATTAAATTAGGAAGGTAATTGTTTTTAATTGTTAAATGTTCCTACTGCATAACCTGATCATGGACATAGTTCTATATTTATAGGAGGATACAAAGATTTAGTTTTAAAGAAGAAAACTAAAATTGATATCAAATTATAATTTACACCAAAATGGATGTGTAAAATTGAGGCTCATTTATAAATTACGAATGTAAATACTAATGATATTTATGATTACTAAATTACAGGAATTGGTGAAGAACCTTTAGCATAATCAAATATTGTATTATAATGTAAAGCTAGATAAAAAACAAAAACTGAAATAATTTTGAATAATTATTCTTAAAATGAAATGAAATATAAAGTAGAAACTGATTTAATTAATGCAAGTGGATTATAGAATTTTACGATTGCTCCATAAAGAAAATATCGTTATGAATTATCAGTAATGCCAATGTTAAGTGGTTAATATAATGGATCAATAACATTTTATGAAGAAAGTGGTGAATACATTTGGTATACTGTGGTATTAGATACTGATTCTCCTATAGCTGAGAAAGAAGTTGAGATTTCAACTTAAGTAAGGAAACCAGTTAGTTTTGAAATTGAACTTAGTAATCCTATGCCATTTGAATAAGCAACATTTGAAGTTAGAATAGAAGGTGATAATTTACATGGTAGTAAAACTTTCACTATTTTACCTTAAATGAGTTCAATATATGAATTATATTATCTACCATTACTTCCAGAGAAGAAAAAAGGAGTTATAGGATTTATACATCCAAAATTAGGAGAAATTTGGTATAACTTAAGTTTAATATCAGAAGAAAGGCAAAGTATTAGAATTCCAACTTTAAAAACAGAATTAGGAAAAGTAGAGGAATATGAAATTTATTTAGAAAACCCAATAGATAAAGAAATTAATGTATAAGTTTAAATAACAAACCCAGCTAATTTTGATGTATTACCTACTGATATAGTATTAAAACCTCATTGCGATACAAGTGTTTATATTAGATTTACTCCAAGTAGTCTTGATTAAATTTAGAATGGTGAAATAAGATTCATTACATAAGAAATAGGAAAATGGGAATATTTAGTTTATGGAGTGGGAATTCCACCAACAGCATTTCCAGAAATGACTGTTACTGTTGGAATTAATAAAGATTATTCAGATGTAATACATTTTAAAAATCCCTTCAGAGATACAATTCAAGTATAAATTATGATTGAATCAGATGATGATGCTTTTTAATTACTCATAAAAAAAAAGAATGATACTAAAACAACTATTGCTGGATTGTAATAAATATAAATTCCATTTTCATTTACACCTAGAAGTATTAGATCATATAAATGTGAACTGGTTGTAGCCATGAATGAAAAGATTAAATGGAGATATCCTATTACTGGACATACTGAATCATTTGCTACTGGTAAATTTACTTAATTTAAAACTAAATGTAGAATTCCTTTCTTATAAGAATTTAAATTTTAATTACCAGGAGTTGATAAAATTGGAAAATCTAATTTTACTTTTTAAATTAAAAATGTATCAGAAGATGTTAAAATCTTTATGGACAAATTCTTTAAAATTAAAATGATTTAATCTGCTACTGATGATTGTGATGAAGTTCATTTTGATGCTAATTTTAATCCATTAAAACCTTTCAAAGCCAATTTTGATTTAATAATCAAAAGAGATATAGGTGGTGTATGGAAATTCCCAATGAGTCTTGATGCTACAGAACCTGATATTGATGATCTAATTATTATTACTAGTCCACTTAATAAACCTACTAGTGTTTCATTTAGAATTACTAATCGTACTAAACATTAAGCCACTTTTAGAGCATACTTTACACCATCTTCTGATTAAGAATTCTCAGTTACTCCTAAATATGGAGAACTTTAACCTAATGGAAGAGAAGGTACTTAATTCATTATTACTTTTACTCCTCTTGAATATGGATAAATTAGATCTGGAAAATTAATTATTGAAACTGATGATATGTATTGGTCTTATAAAGTCAGAGGAACATTACCTAAATATGAACCACCTATTGCCTAACCTAAAGTTGATGCTAAAATTATTGCTAATAATAGTAGTAATTTCAAACCAAAGAATTTCTTATAAAATAATATAAAGTATTCTATTCTTATTTATATCTCTAGACGCAATCATTCACCACCTAGTACACATCAAAAATCTACTGCTATTACTAATCTTAATTTCAGTAGAAGAACTTTTGGAGCAACACTCACTAGAGATACCAAATCTGTTCAATTAATGAAGACTTAAAAATTAGAATGATTTAATTATTATTAAATTTTATCCTATATTTTTAATTTATTCTCACATTACATTTTATTTAACTATTTATTATTACTATTAATAAGGTATTACAATATAAATGGAAGCTATAACAATATAAATAAGAAATTAATTAAATTAAATAAATTTTATCCTTTAAGAAAATATTATATCAAAAAGGAAAATCAAACTATCTAAATTTCATTTTAAAATGAATTCTATCAAGACATTATCTTTATTTATCAAAAATACTTTTTAAAATTTATTTAATTTAAATAATTAATTAATATTTAAATATTTATTTAATATATACTCAATTTCAAATACTGAAAATAAAGAAATCAAAAAGGTACAAAATCCTTTTAAGTTAAATTAGCCTTTTAATTTAACTGAAATTGATTCATACCTTTAAGTAAATTATCATTGGATTATTTCAGTAATTTCAGTTTTTGGTGTGAGATATAATTCATTCTCAATAAATTAGGTAAATTGAGCACCTGAAACAACAGCAAAGGCACCATTTTACCATAAAAATACCGAGAACTTGGAATTCTGTTAAAGGATCTGTTTATCCTTATCCAAGAAAACTGGTTATTATTAAATTGAAAGATGAATCATTGGAAAACTTAATTTCCTACTCTAGTAAGTTTTAGTAACTTAACCCTAACTATTTAATATAGGTCTAACTTCTTTTCCTATACTAGTAAAGACTCCTTTTACCATTCTTATTTAAGTTCTTCGAATGTTAATGGAGTGGTATCATCAGAAAAAGGTATTAATGGAGCATATAATAGATGATTGTCTTTTACATATAAGATATCGTATCCAATCAGATATTTATTAACTTCCTTACTAAAACCAGGAACGGTTAATAAAGTAATACTTAAGGTTTATCTTTAACCTAAGAATTAAATGGACTTAAAAATTCATTTGTATATGTATGAAGTGCTAATACGAATTTTTTATTAGTATGAAATTAAAAAAGAAATGCTCTTTAAATTACATCACTTTTACCTTAGAATGTTACAATTCCACTACCATCAAAATTCATAATTCTACTTGCTCCTGATTTATCCCTTAAAAGTTTAATTTTCATTAAAAATTAGAAATTTTCTATGAAATTCCATTTTCTTCTTACATATATTGGAATTACTTAGTCTCAGGCACCAATATACTTTTCCATTCATTTATCATTTGACTTTTTAATTCATCCAATGTCTATGATTCCATTTAGATAGTCATAAAAGTTAAAAATAGTAATAAAGAGTAAAATTATGAAGTATTTTTAATGATTTTTCGTTTAGACAACATTTAATTTTTTATAGATAAAAAAGAAATTCTAAAATCCAAAAAATTAGATTATTTAAATTAGATTATATTTTAAATGACCTTAAACAATAAATTTATATTAAATTAGAATTAATAAATTATAATATTAATGAAAAAATTAAATTAGATAAAAAAGAGGATCGGCACACTTTAATAAAAGAATGTTGACTAGAGAGTTCAATACTCATCTTTATTAATTGTAATTAAAATGAAAGAACATCAAATTATAAACATTTAAACTTAATTTATTGAAATATGATAATAAATTTCTTAGCTTTTAATTTGATCAAACCTTAACTCTAAATAACAAAGTAATTCCTTTAAATAAATTATTAGTTTTATTTTTTTTTAAATCATCATTGAAATACTAGCCTTTAATAACAAATTTTTCAAACTAATATTAAGTACAAACATATAAACATGTAGATTTCAGATTTTTAAAAAAGGCACATATGTTGGATAATTAAAGTTTAATGTATAAAATTGTTTGCATGTCTGGTGTTGACGAAATTTTTAATAGAAAAATGAATTGTAAAAACTAAATTCAACACTGAATGAGATTTAAGAATTACATAAGAATTCAAAAAAAAAGCTTGATGAGAATAATAATGATGGAAAACAAAAATAGAAGTCTAATAAGAATAAAAACTTCGATCAAATACAAATAGATAAAATATAAAAAATGATTATGAATGCTCAATGCTATTTAAGAAAAAAGTTAATTGAAACAATAATAGATTAATTAAGATATAAAAGAGCTAAACTTATCTAAGAATTTATTATTTTAGTAGTACATTCATGATAATAAACATAAATATTCCTTATCAATCTAATTGTTTAATAATTTTAAACTTTGGCATAAAACATAAGTAGAATGTAAAATGAAATAAAAATGGATAAAAGTATAAAACTTGTGAATAATAATTTAAACCATTCTAAATTTAAATATTATTAAATTATTATAATTTTATGAATATTTTGAATAGTCATAAGATTCTTAGATTAGAAATCGAAATATGCCATATCGATGATAGTTGATACATAATGCTACTTAATTTTTTATAATGAAAATAATATAAAAATAATTGGAGGATCTTTTGGAACAAAAATTAATAATAAAATACAACAATTTTTATCCAAAAATCCTTTAGAGTAAGTATGCATTTTAATCAGATTGATGAATCACATCAATTAATTAGGTCCTTTTTTACCTCCTTATAATTTGATATATTCTTACAGGAATCCGTACCTACCTTACTATTATCATGATGAGATGAAGGAATTAAATTAATAAAATACATATCGATCAGAAGTGCTTAAATGGTATTATAATAAGCCTAAAGTATAGGTTTTCTAGGCTTGATATTAATGAATAGTATCAGATATTTAAGATAAAGGGTTAAATGTGTACAATTCCAATTCTTTAGATGTACATTTATGATAGACTTTTCGTTCCTTCCCATTATGGAATAAAATATAAATAGTAAATGATTTATATTAACTAGATTAAATTTAAAAGAACGGTTTGATGACTAGTTTAGTATGAAATCAATATAACTTCATTCAAGAGCAGAGGTAAAAATTATATTAAATCAAGGAATTCTATGAATTGCTCCATATCATAGATGAAGAATAATTTATGGATACAATCATTTTAGTTGATGGTGCATTAGATAAATAAGGAAAGTTTATTGAACTCCTTTAGAACATTTCAAATTATTAATTTCTTTCAAAACCACTAAAAGTTACTAATGAAAAAGTTGAAGATCCTGAATGGTTTTCTTAGAAATATTACCGCAGTTGCATAGAATGGATTATGAGAGAATATGAGAAGAATATAGCTTTTTATTTTGCTATTTCACATGATAAAAAAAAGAAAATCAAAAATCATAATTAAACCACAATTAAAAATAATAATATTGAACTCTAAAAATATTTTTAATTAAATATAGCTCACAATAAAGAAAAAGTATAAAATCATAATATTCTTATCTAGTTAATCAAGTATTATGGATAAATAACAAATGAAATATCAAAAAAACCTAATAATATTGAAAATATATTTTACTCTAATATATTTTAAAGTCCTGCAATTACAACTTATAAATCTTAGTCAGAAATATAAACATCTTTTATTTAAAAGTGTAACACTGATTAAAATATAATAAATTCTATGTTAATAATCAAGATGAGTGAATTAATTGAATAGAAAACATATTATCTCAAAAAGTTTTATCCTTTACTCTTGAATCTATATCAAGAACATTTAGAATAAGAATTATTCAGTTGTGAATCTCAATATAAATCTAAAAGTTCAAAAAAGAAAAAGAAAAAAAAGTAATCAGAAAACATATAAAATGAACTTAATGGAAATGACTCCTCAATATAAAATAATATTCTTAATGAATTGACTTTCAAGTAAATCTATATTAAAATTTAGTGAGAACTTAACAAAGGAATCATAAAAAAAGGAAGAAGCATTAATAGAATCATTTGAGATGTAAGAAATCAGTAAAACTATAACAGTTTAAGAATTATAAGTAGAAAATTTATTTGAATCTTATAAGCAATCTAAATTTTAAGAAGAAGAATAATGGATGTATATTTCTTAAGAAGTTGTAAAATTAGCAATCTTATAATCTTATTCTTGTTTAAATCTAGAATTAGAATTTGAAGTTGAATAGAGAAACTAATAAAGCTAAAAATAAACTAATAAAAAGAAAAAGTAGAAAAACTAAGCTCAAATAAATAATGATAAAAGCAACAAAGATTTAATAGCTGAAAATATAATAAAAGAAAATGATCAAAAAGATATTTAGGAACCCTAATTAATTGAGACATCTTTTAAAAAATAAGTCATTGATGGGGAAGGATAATTAAATCAATAAGAAATATAAAAATAATATTTGATTAAGACTTAAACATATTAAAATGAGGAAGATTTAATTTAAATTTGTAATAGTTAAGATGAACATGAATGTTTGGCATTATCTTAATCAACTGAATGTTCTGTTAATTTAAATATATAATAGAAGAATAAATGCGAAAAATCTATGACAATAATTATTGAAGATGATACAAATTTAGGAAAAGAAAAAATGTTTGAATTTATTACATTAGATATTATTAATTTTACAGATATCATTTTAAAAGAATATGATGATTTATTACCATTTAGATAGTTAGTTTATGATAGAGTGAAAATAGCAATATAGAGTTTATTTTTTTTGCCTGATGATAAAATTAAGTAAAAACTTCAAATAATTATATAATTAAAGACTCTTTGGTTCTTGTGCAACAGGACTTGCATTGATAGATTCCGATATTGATATTGGCATTAGTTCCTTTGAAAATTTTGACAAATAATCACTTCGATAACCTTTTCATTAACTATATAATTCATTTTTATAAACTAAATGGGTAACAAAAGCTAAGTAAATTTAAAATTTGATGATAGATCTATTTTTAACACTATGGTACCAGTTATTAAATTAGAAATAGATCCTTTAATAAATTTTAGTGAATTTGATTCAAGATATTTAAATTTAGATGATAATCATATAAGGATCTGGAAACAAATAAAACAAAAACTAAAATCAGGAATAAAAGTAGATATTACTTTTAGTTTTCATAATAATCATTTAGGATATGAATCTACAGATATGATTATGAAATGGATGTTAGAATATCCAAACATTCAATAATTGGTATTGATTTTAAAAACCATAATTAAAAGATTAGGATATTCAGAATCTTATAAAGGTAAATATATATTCATTCAATATCAGGAGGATTATCTTCGTTTTCCTTAATTATAATGGTTTATAGTTATTTAAGAGAAAATAGAGTTAAAAATGATTAATTAGGTCATTAATTTCTAGATATGATATATTTCTTTTCTCATGAATTCGCTCCAGATATATATGGAATAGGTTTGCCAAGTTTAGATTAATTTATTAAACCTAATCAACCTAGGTATCTAATATATATTTAACTATAGTTATTTTTTCTAATTAAAGGATTATTGTTTACCTCCATTACCAATAACTATTTTCTCTCCTATTAATAATAGATTGATTAGTGCTCAATGTGTGCACATTGATAAACTCTTACTATTTTTCAAAAAAATATATGATTAATCATAATAAAATTTAGAGTTTTTCAATTCATATGTTACATATGGCAAGAAAAAGTAATAGAGACTAAGTAGGGAAATTAAAAACTTTATTACTCAAATCCTAATTATGATTGATTAAATAAGATGAGAAATATTTGTAAATAGAAATATATTTTATTAAATCTTTGTTTATAAATCTATTATGAAAATTACTCTTATTATTTAAATAATCATTAATAATTAATAATATTCATCAATAGATTATAAAAAAATAAAAATTAATAAAATAAATATAAAATATTTGAAATCTGTTTTCTAATAATAAAAATTATTGATTTTGATTGCTTGCTTTGATTATCTAAATTTTTGGATATTAATTAAATATTAATAATGAATAGGATACATGAAATTGAGATGCTAATCTAATTAAATTGTTTCATTTTGTTTCTTTGTGATTGTGCATAACAATTTGAAAATTATATAACTGAATTTTTTGAAACATAATTGTGCAATTAATTTAATAAAGAGATTCTATTACTTTTAAAATAAAATAATTTAATGTAGTAGGTTTAAGTATTTATATATTTATTAAATGAAAATTTTTAATGATACAATATAAGATTATATTGAAAAGCATTCTGAAATTACAAAGATGATAGATTTAAATGTTCTTTCTTAAAAACCTGGATTTAAGATAGAATAATTCAATAACCTTATATATATAGGTTAAATGTTGGATGGAAAGAAGCATGGAACAGGTAAAAGTAATTAAAATTTTGATAGGTATTTTAAAAGTAGTTGGTTCATATTAAATTTATATTGGAGAATGGAAAGAAGATTAAAAATCAGGTTAAGGTTATGAAAAATTTTCAAATGGAGCTAAATATTATGGTAGTTATGAGAATAATAAATAAAATGGATATGGTGAATATTTTTGGGTTAACGGTGAACATTATAAAGGGAATTGGATAGATGGTAAAAGAAGTGGTTATGGGGAGTGGATAAGTTCAAATTAATATTATAAAGGAGAATGGAATAATGATTATGTAGAAGGTAAAGGTGTTTATTAATCTGAAAAAGGTAGTTAAGATTATAAACTTAGGTGATTTATATACAGGAAATTTTTAGGCATCTATAAAACATGGAATGGGAGAAGAATTGTTTGCAAATGGAGATTTATTTAGAGGGAATTTTATTAATGGTAAACCAGAAGGTTATGGGGAATACTTTTGGAAATGTGGTAGTTTTTATAAGGGTAACAAATATTATAAGATTTATTAGGTTATTTTTAAAATGGTATGAGACATGGTCATGGTTTATGGTAATCATCAAATTAAACTTTATGTGAAAAATATGTTGGGGCCTATTAATTTGATAAAAAATAAGGATATGGAGAATTTACATTTATAAATGGAACTATTTATAAAGGTTGGTTTTACGATAATCATAGATAGGGATTTGGAGAAATGTTTTAAAAAGGAATCGCAATTTATTAAGGAGATTGGGAGAAGGATAAATATATTGAAAAATCTATATTAAACTTTTAATAGAAATTAAAAACTTTAGATAACTCTGCTCAATATCCAAAGTATACCAATGCTGATGAAATTAAAGAATTAGAAGATGAATCTAATATATCAGAGGATTAAGGCACACTTTAAAATAGTTTGATTATACCCAAAAAATAAAAAGAAAAATTCAGATTAGCTACTTTAAATTTAGATAATAAAACTATTTCTCATCGTATATCCCCAATGAAAGAAAGCTTAAAATTACCTTAAAGCTCTATTTCATCCAAAAAAAGGGTTTAATCATAAAATTAATGCAAGAAAACAATAATTTAATACAATAAAAATAGAGCAATTTCTACATAAATCAAACTCTAAAAAATTAATCAACAACCAGATTAAAATTGGTAATATTCTACAAAAAAAAAAGGAAAAATAAAATTGGAAAAATTGAAATGATTTAAATGCTTACTATCATTTTATATTTAATTATTAGATAATTCTTTCACTATTTTGTTTTGATATATATTTCATCTTCCAATTTATTGAGTTTTTAATTTTCAGAGTTGATGTTCTCTATCAAATATTTATCAACTAAATTTTTCATTAATTGTTATAAATTTATTTTAATAATATCAATTTATATATTTAATTTATTTAGTGAAGACCCTACCTTAAGATTGTAGAATAGATTCTTAAATCAGAAAAATAGTTGAATTCTTAAGATTTTCATAGGCTTTTAATTGATAATTAAAACTTAATCCAAATTATAAAGTTCCATTAATTCTATTAAAGCAGAGTTAATAGGATTATGTGAAATTCATAAGATTCAATAGCTTTCAGGGATTAAAAAATTAAAAAATCAAATTGAAATAGTTGATTATTTTTGGATAATAACCTAGCAATCCTCAGAACAAAATGTTAAGAGATATTTATTGCCTGAATAATAAATAAAGTTTTTGATTTATTCTTAGGAACTCTTTCCAATCAAAATTGAATTATGGAATATAAAAAAATGAAAAAATTAAAACTTAATTGATAAAGAGGAAATTTAAAATTGAAAACAGGTAAAAAAATGAAAATTAGTTTATCTGAGCATTTTACTATATTTATAAGTTGAATAATAAGAATATTGAAAGTATTTTTTAAAATGACTAATTATTCTGTTTTGAGTAGAAAATGCTCAGATATCAATAATCCAGAAAGAATCAAAAACTTGTAAAAATTATATTTTTATTAATATATAGAATATAATTTAATTTCATATATTTGATCCATCTTAATATAATTGTTTCTCTGTCAATGCAATAAAGGATTTACATTCCCACTCTAAAAATAATTTTTCTTCATAAGCAATCAACTGTTTATTTTCTGAACCAAAAAATTAAGATTTTCTAAACTTTAGAGATATGAATTAATCCCATAATCCTATATACAAAGCTATCTCTACTAAAAAGTTCATAGTTAAATAAATAGCTTTTTCCCCTTTTGAATACTATCCCTACTTGACCTTAATGTACTATCAGTTAAATTCTCTATGTAATTCTAAATGGATGTTAATAATCTCACATAATTGGATATCTAGCTAGAAAAGAAATTCGCAATTAACTTAATAAAACTAAAATCTTAATTCTTGACTTTTCTATGTAAAATTTAACATTTCATTAATTTTCATAATTCTAATTTATCCTAGTAGAAAAATGAATTCATATGGAGTACTGGAAATAGCTATCAATTAGATTTCCTTTCAGACATTCTTGTGTTTAATTAATTTAATACAAAATATAATTGAGATAGAATGTTAAATCTCAATACATGTTGAAATTAAATATTAATTATTATTTAAAATAATGTAAAATCCATATTTTTCATAAAACAATTAACTATCTCTTGATAGTTTAGGGAAAAAAACTTTTTAAAGTTCTTAATAAGTCTCTTATGAATCAAAGAATTAAAAAGTACCTTTATCTTTATAATAATTATAGAATGGAGATCTTTAATGCATTTAAACTTAAAGTCAACCTAAAGATGATTTAGACAACCATGATATTTAATAATGTGATATTATAATTTAAAATTTAGAAAAAGGAATTTCTTAGGGCTACGATATAGAAAATCACTTTTTGGAAAAATATGAATTCTCCTAAAGAAAAAAATTCTCAATTAAAATATTTTTATTATTAACCATTTAATAATTAATAACATGCATTATGGTGACTGTTCAGTATTTTTCATAACCATTTAATGACTTATTGATAAATCCTTCAACTTAAATTCCAACAGCATTATTTTGGTGTATGTTGGCTATTTTATTTTTAACTGAAATTATTGTCTTTTGCTCTAAAGATTCAGTATAAAAAGTAAGATTTAATTATTAAACAAGATTCCTATTAATTATATTGTTTTAGGTATTTTTACGATAAGTTTTTCATTTGTTATTTCAGGAATAAGTGCTATTTGCAAAAGTATTTTTGAAAATTGTAAAGAATTGATTTTTATTTCTTCCTTTATGGCATTAATTGCCTTTGGTATATTAAACTTATATTGTTACATATCTTAATAAGAAATGAATTGGAAAAGTACAAATAAAATTATATTTAGTTGCTTTATTAAGTGTTAGTATTTCTTAATTGCTTATGTTTTTAATATTTTCTATTGTTTTTTAAAAAAATATATCATGGATTCTATTATGCTCATTTTTAGTTAGTATTTATGGAATGTTTACATTCTTGATTTAATAAGAAGTAAATCTTAAACCTAAATTAGTTTCATAAATCTAATATTTATGACTTTGTGATCGGAGTTATTTTTATTTATATAGAAATAACTATATTGATGATAAGAGTACCCTAATGTTTGATAGAAGTATGTCTAAAAAATTGAAATATTTATAAATGAATCTTTTTTACATATTTTATTTTTTTTTTTAATTATAAAACATTTCCTTATTTTTATTTTTACTAATAGAACAATATAAAACTCTAAGTATATAAATAAATGAATAAAAATTCATAATCTTTAACAATATATTTTACCAGTAAGAAGTTTTTATGAACAGAGATTATTTTCGAAATGATCATTAGAACAAAAAGATTGAGTCAATAAAATAAACTTATTTTAAAAATAAGCTCTTTCTATTAAATTCAAATTTTGTTTCTGGATATTATAAATTATTTAATAATCATTTATATATATTGACTACTTAATATTATAATATGTTTATTAATATTAAAAAATAGATTCTAATATATACAAAATTAGAAGATATTCATTATGACAAGACTCGATATTTTTAATAAGAATTTTATTTTAATGGCTGTAGCTAGATTTTTCAACATGCATCTGCCCTATTGTATATTATGAAATTGGATAATTATAATGTGAGAAGGTTGTCACTATTTCTATTGCAAATTTTTTGATAATTCAGACAATAGTTGAACTTCTTCTCAGAGTTTTAAAAGGTAAGACCTGTAAATGTGCTGATGGAAATAATTAAGAATCAGATTTAGCTGAATTTAAAAGTAATTATTTAAATTACTAATTAATAGAACGCTTAAATTAATGCAAAACTGAACAACAGAAATGTTTAACTTGCCCATTAAATTCTTTGAGGAAACTAATTTCAATAAAAGGATTTTTATGTTCTAGAGAATTATATGATAAAAAAAAAGAGATAGTTTGTTTAAGTATTTTTATTACTAGATACTCTCAATAAAAAAATTTATTTCCAATTGAAATTGAAAATGAATGCATTTAAACACATTGATAAAGAAATAGTTAAAATTGATGTTTTTTAAGTTTAAAATATGGCTACGATCATTTGATGTAAAACTATTGTAAATTCTATAACTATTCTCACTAAATGAGAATTTAGATTAGATTAAATTTATTTAATAGTGTAACTAGGTTAAGATGTAATTATTTATTCATAAGCTCATAAAAACAAAGGATATGTTTAAGGTTTAGGTGAGAGTCTCCAATTTAATTTGATTTTCTAATAATTTGCGATTATTAATAATAATAGAAACTAATCATAATTAATCTTTATTAATTTTTTTATTATTATATCAGTATTTANATTCATAATCTTTAACAATATATTTTACCAGTAAGAAGTTTTTATGAACAGAGATTATTTTCGAAATGATCATTAGAACAAAAAGATTGAGTCAATAAAATAAACTTATTTTAAAAATAAGCTCTTTCTATTAAATTCAAATTTTGTTTCTGGATATTATAAATTATTTAATAATCATTTATATATATTGACTACTTAATATTATAATATGTTTATTAATATTAAAAAATAGATTCTAATATATACAAAATTAGAAGATATTCATTATGACAAGACTCGATATTTTTAATAAGAATTTTATTTTAATGGCTGTAGCTAGATTTTTCAACATGCATCTGCCCTATTGTATATTATGAAATTGGATAATTATAATGTGAGAAGGTTGTCACTATTTCTATTGCAAATTTTTTGATAATTCAGACAATAGTTGAACTTCTTCTCAGAGTTTTAAAAGGTAAGACCTGTAAATGTGCTGATGGAAATAATTAAGAATCAGATTTAGCTGAATTTAAAAGTAATTATTTAAATTACTAATTAATAGAACGCTTAAATTAATGCAAAACTGAACAACAGAAATGTTTAACTTGCCCATTAAATTCTTTGAGGAAACTAATTTCAATAAAAGGATTTTTATGTTCTAGAGAATTATATGATAAAAAAAAAGAGATAGTTTGTTTAAGTATTTTTATTACTAGATACTCTCAATAAAAAAATTTATTTCCAATTGAAATTGAAAATGAATGCATTTAAACACATTGATAAAGAAATAGTTAAAATTGATGTTTTTTAAGTTTAAAATATGGCTACGATCATTTGATGTAAAACTATTGTAAATTCTATAACTATTCTCACTAAATGAGAATTTAGATTAGATTAAATTTATTTAATAGTGTAACTAGGTTAAGATGTAATTATTTATTCATAAGCTCATAAAAACAAAGGATATGTTTAAGGTTTAGGTGAGAGTCTCCAATTTAATTTGATTTTCTAATAATTTGCGATTATTAATAATAATAGAAACTAATCATAATTAATCTTTATTAATTTTTTTATTATTATATCAGTATTTATTGTTAAAATGTTTTTTGAATTTATCAAATTTAAAATATATCATTCAAAAATAAAATTTAAATATAAAATATAATATAAAATAGTCTTTTTAGGAATATGTGCAAATCAAAATAGTATGAATTATAACGAAAATAATTATTTTCAAAAAGTAGCTAATTCTATACTAAAAAAATTTTATTAAAAATATTCATGATTAATTCAAAAATTATTATGGAATAGAATACATGGAATTATTAAAAAAATAGGATTAGTCTTATGTTCAGTATTTTCCTGCACTAGAAAGACTCAGCTTTATTTTTTAAACACTATTTATTTCATAAATAAAAAATTGAAAATTTTATTCTCCTATAAATCAAATCTACCCAGAAGGATTAATAGATGAGAACCTAATATATAGATGCTTTAATATTTTTATTTCTATTAATTAGAATTTATTCTTCATGCACTTCCATTATCATAATATCATGTAGTAAGACACTATCAAAATTGCAGGATTAATGGTTTGAAATGCATTTTTTAAATTTATATGCTCATGTTCTTAAATAATAAAGCCATACATTAAAAAACAAATATCAAATAACTCAGAAATCTTAATAAAAATAATATTAATTACAAACTATTCCTAAATATTGACCTCTCTAATTGGAACTACATAAAAAGTGATGAAAGGAGCTCTAAATAAATATTTAGAATGTTGATAGAAGATTCTTTTTATATACAATTTTAGCAATATTTTTTAATAGTTAAGTAAGATAATTTAGAAATACTATATAATCTAATAATTGTAATCAATATTTAATAAAAAAAATAAAATTTACAAATAGAAATTAAGATCATAAATTCTTTTTTCAGTAATATCTATATTTTGGGCGAATATTTATTTTTGAATTTCAATTAATTCTTTATTTTTCAATAAATTTCTAACTCTCTAATCTTTCTCAAATACCCATGTATATTGAATATATTGAATTATATTAACATTATTCTTAAATACTGTATTAAAGTCTTATTAAAATTGTAAATTAATCCTTCTCTTATTTTATAATCAGGTTTAAGATTAATTAAATTTAAAAGCTTATCTTTTGTTTCCTAATGTGCCGTTTTTATATCCTACCAAATTGAATTTTTAACTTTATCAATTTTCCCTCTTTTTGTTTTTTAACAGTTAGATAGAGATGAAAAGAATGATAAAAAGTCTATTCACTTGAGATTTATAAGTTTATTGTTATTTTATTTAACTTCCTCAAATAAACTATGATTTATAATTTTTATTTAAGTCTTTATTTGTTCATTAAAATAATTATTTCTCCTATTATTTAATTCTTAGATTCCTTTTCAATTAGACAATAATTAAAAGTGAGATCTTATTAATGAATAAAGTCTATCCCAAAATTAATTACAATTCCTAATCATTTTTAATTTCATTCATTTTAACTAATTTAATTATTTTCTCGTTTCCATTATCATTTTTTTTGATTTTACCCTCATATAGTGATTTAAGTATTGTTAATTATTCTATTTCTTTAGAGTTATTTAAAATTTAAACAATAGTGTATTGTGGCTCTACAAAAAAATGTGAAATGTCATGACTTAGCGTCTTAACGTTGAATTTTTTGGACTCTTACTTAATGATACCAAAGTCAGACTATATTTAAGCAATTAAAATTTTACAGTATTTAATTTAATTTTATTAAATCAAGATATTCTTAACAAATAATTTAAAACCTTAACCTCTAAATTAATTAGATTATCCTTTCTTACTTAAATAATTTTATAAGTTGTTTATGAATTATGTTTATATCAGAGCTTTGTAATATGAAAAATTACTTTAATAATTATAATATTTTTAAACTAAACTTACAATCAATTAATTGTTGGTGTGCATTATTTAATGTTTATAATTCAGAATCAAATAATTTAAGCTTATTTAAAAATTTGTCTTAATTTTTTTATATAATTAATAAATCCAACCTCCATTACAATTAAATTTAATTATATTTAGAATATTTTCATCTTCTACTTCTATTTTAAATTATTTAATTCTTTTTAAATAAAATCTAAAAAATTTTCTTTATACGAAATTAGATTTTGAGCAAATTAATGAAACGAAGTTTCGAATTCTTAGAAAATCTTCTCGAAGTTTTCGATCTCAAATAATTTTTTTATTTATTCTAAGTTTATTCTCTAAAAATAGACTAAAATCATAAATTGTACTAAAAATTCAACAGCTATAAAATATAATCTTAAATTTAATTACTAAGTTTGAAATTTTCAATTTTAACAAAATTTTTTTCAAATTAGCAAAAATTTTTTAAGTTTTTTTTTGATCTAAAATTTATTTGAGTAAGGAATAAGATAATTCAATTTCACAGCTTCAAATTTTGATAATTCATTAATATGATTAGTCAAAATGATCAATTTTTTTTAAATTTCGAAGAACTGCTTTTATAACCCCTATTAATCATTTAGAAATATTTATATTGAAAAATAATTTGGTTCTTTAAATTAATTAATAAAAGATTAAATGATTTCTTGATGAATTGATATGATTTGATCTTTCTGAGATAACAAATTATTATCATAGTTTTCTTATTTGTTTTAATTTTCCTTATTAAATATGAATTATTTATTTAATATTTTGATTAAAATCTCCTTTCAAAAGAAATTAAGAAAATAATAAAAGCTTTTTTTTACTATAAAATTCCAATTCATCATTAAATTCACAATTATGCAATTGTTTTTCTTTTTTTTACAATAAATTCATAATTTCTTGATTTTTATTATATGAAACACAATGTATTTTATAAGCAAATTCAAAATATTTGTTTTTTATTTGGATTAATCAATAATTGGTCTATACACAATAATATCAGTAATCATTTATATCCAACTAAAATGTATAAACCAATTGTCAGAAACAATTATGTATTATGAAAAGATATCTTTTAATTATGATATTTATTTATAAGTTTCAAATTCTAATAATTTTGTATAAATAATCTTTATGCTCTTCTAATTTCTGGATTATTAAGTTAAATACACATAATTCTTAGATTACAAATCTGTAAAACTTAATAACGTAGGAACCCAGAATTACTTAGATAATCTATGAGCACTGCCAATAAAATATCAAATTTTCTTTTCACTTATCCACAAATATTGCTATCTATTTTTTCATCAATACAATAATAATTCAAGTGTTTTCTATTATGCATTTACCATTATATTTTTTTAATCACTTCATATCTCTTATTTATATCACCTAAGAATATTGCTTCTTCTACCATAAGTTTTAGACAATCATTAAGATTTAAATGAAAATTTTAAGGTAATTATTCTTTTGTATCTAGTTTTCATCTAATTATTAATGTTATTAGATATCCTTTTTTTACTTTTGATATCCCACATCCTCCTCCTCTCAATTTACTTAGATGGCTAATTGGAATTCGTTCATTATATTAATCATAATTATCTAAGGTTTCTGTAATTAATGAAGCATTTATATCCATCTTCATAATAAAAATATTTTAAAGTAAAAGCTATTTCTATTTTAATTAATTATATCTAAAGAAAAAAAAGTTTAGTTATAAATACAAAATTCGTTAATTTAAAACTAAATGAATTAATATTAATTAAAAATGCTTAAATATTATTGATGAACAGTAATTATTGAAATCTCAGAAAATTATGAGTTCCTTGCTAATATTTTATAAATAGTCAGATTAAACAAAATCTAGATTCAAATAATAAAAAAAATTTTTTAATAAATAAACAATATTAATACAAGTAATAAAGACTTGTAATAAAATATATTTTGATTTAGATGAAATATTAGTCCTTATAAGTAATCATTATAATAAACCAACCAACTGATATTAGGTAAATATATTAAACGAATAATCAGTTACGATCCAGCGANTTTGTAATATGAAAAATTACTTTAATAATTATAATATTTTTAAACTAAACTTACAATCAATTAATTGTTGGTGTGCATTATTTAATGTTTATAATTCAGAATCAAATAATTTAAGCTTATTTAAAAATTTGTCTTAATTTTTTTATATAATTAATAAATCCAACCTCCATTACAATTAAATTTAATTATATTTAGAATATTTTCATCTTCTACTTCTATTTTAAATTATTTAATTCTTTTTAAATAAAATCTAAAAAATTTTCTTTATACGAAATTAGATTTTGAGCAAATTAATGAAACGAAGTTTCGAATTCTTAGAAAATCTTCTCGAAGTTTTCGATCTCAAATAATTTTTTTATTTATTCTAAGTTTATTCTCTAAAAATAGACTAAAATCATAAATTGTACTAAAAATTCAACAGCTATAAAATATAATCTTAAATTTAATTACTAAGTTTGAAATTTTCAATTTTAACAAAATTTTTTTCAAATTAGCAAAAATTTTTTAAGTTTTTTTTTGATCTAAAATTTATTTGAGTAAGGAATAAGATAATTCAATTTCACAGCTTCAAATTTTGATAATTCATTAATATGATTAGTCAAAATGATCAATTTTTTTTAAATTTCGAAGAACTGCTTTTATAACCCCTATTAATCATTTAGAAATATTTATATTGAAAAATAATTTGGTTCTTTAAATTAATTAATAAAAGATTAAATGATTTCTTGATGAATTGATATGATTTGATCTTTCTGAGATAACAAATTATTATCATAGTTTTCTTATTTGTTTTAATTTTCCTTATTAAATATGAATTATTTATTTAATATTTTGATTAAAATCTCCTTTCAAAAGAAATTAAGAAAATAATAAAAGCTTTTTTTTACTATAAAATTCCAATTCATCATTAAATTCACAATTATGCAATTGTTTTTCTTTTTTTTACAATAAATTCATAATTTCTTGATTTTTATTATATGAAACACAATGTATTTTATAAGCAAATTCAAAATATTTGTTTTTTATTTGGATTAATCAATAATTGGTCTATACACAATAATATCAGTAATCATTTATATCCAACTAAAATGTATAAACCAATTGTCAGAAACAATTATGTATTATGAAAAGATATCTTTTAATTATGATATTTATTTATAAGTTTCAAATTCTAATAATTTTGTATAAATAATCTTTATGCTCTTCTAATTTCTGGATTATTAAGTTAAATACACATAATTCTTAGATTACAAATCTGTAAAACTTAATAACGTAGGAACCCAGAATTACTTAGATAATCTATGAGCACTGCCAATAAAATATCAAATTTTCTTTTCACTTATCCACAAATATTGCTATCTATTTTTTCATCAATACAATAATAATTCAAGTGTTTTCTATTATGCATTTACCATTATATTTTTTTAATCACTTCATATCTCTTATTTATATCACCTAAGAATATTGCTTCTTCTACCATAAGTTTTAGACAATCATTAAGATTTAAATGAAAATTTTAAGGTAATTATTCTTTTGTATCTAGTTTTCATCTAATTATTAATGTTATTAGATATCCTTTTTTTACTTTTGATATCCCACATCCTCCTCCTCTCAATTTACTTAGATGGCTAATTGGAATTCGTTCATTATATTAATCATAATTATCTAAGGTTTCTGTAATTAATGAAGCATTTATATCCATCTTCATAATAAAAATATTTTAAAGTAAAAGCTATTTCTATTTTAATTAATTATATCTAAAGAAAAAAAAGTTTAGTTATAAATACAAAATTCGTTAATTTAAAACTAAATGAATTAATATTAATTAAAAATGCTTAAATATTATTGATGAACAGTAATTATTGAAATCTCAGAAAATTATGAGTTCCTTGCTAATATTTTATAAATAGTCAGATTAAACAAAATCTAGATTCAAATAATAAAAAAAATTTTTTAATAAATAAACAATATTAATACAAGTAATAAAGACTTGTAATAAAATATATTTTGATTTAGATGAAATATTAGTCCTTATAAGTAATCATTATAATAAACCAACCAACTGATATTAGGTAAATATATTAAACGAATAATCAGTTACGATCCAGCGAGGATTTATGAGGTTAATTAAATCTTTAATTGATGGAGTTAAAATGATTATTTTCACTTTTTAACATCAATTTAATAATCATTATGAGTATGAAAATAAATTAATTTCTATAATTTTTTTTGAAATGTTTTAAAGTTATTAAAAATTTCAGAGAAGACTTTTAAATTAATCATAGGAAATGTTAAAATTTCGAATTGAAAGAAAAAAATAAATCGATTTGAAAGAGCTGAAGTAATTATTTAGATGCTTCTTTAAGAAAGCACAGAATATGAACTTTTTAAAGGAAATTCCTAATAAATTTAAGGGATAAAAGAAATATAATTAAAGCTAATTCTATAAGAAGGACCAGCAATAAAAAGGCAATAATCAAGTGATATGAATAAAAGATAAACAATGAGATAATATTTTGGAAGATATTTGAAGTTTGATTTGTCTTTTATTCCTCTGTTCAACTATTTTAAGTAATTAGGGAATCAAAATAAAATTTAATAACGTCGAATGGATACGATTCAATTTCAGTTGTCATAACAAATAATCTATAATTTTAAGAAATTTTTTCACAGCGGAAGTATACTTTTTATCAAAGAGAAGATTAAGGATTTATAGATAGATGAAATTCTTTTAATTTGAAATTTCATTAAAGACTATAAATGTTTAGAATTTTATAAATATTCAACAATAAATTATTTACAAAAACTTTGCAAAAGGATATAATTACACAATTTTTTAGAATAATAATTAATAGAATTTTATAATTAAAGTTAAAAATTAAAGCTTGAAATACAGATGAATAGTAGGTTCAGCATAAATATCAAAATTATTTTAATTTTGGTTTATTTTGGAATTTTCCTTTACGATTTTATCAATATTTGATATTTAAGATAATTACAAATCGCGATATCAATTTTTGAATTTTTTGGTTTGTAAACTCATAAAATATTTTAATAAAATTTGTTTTTTAGAAGAAATAAAATTATTGTAACNAATATTAATACAAGTAATAAAGACTTGTAATAAAATATATTTTGATTTAGATGAAATATTAGTCCTTATAAGTAATCATTATAATAAACCAACCAACTGATATTAGGTAAATATATTAAACGAATAATCAGTTACGATCCAGCGAGGATTTATGAGGTTAATTAAATCTTTAATTGATGGAGTTAAAATGATTATTTTCACTTTTTAACATCAATTTAATAATCATTATGAGTATGAAAATAAATTAATTTCTATAATTTTTTTTGAAATGTTTTAAAGTTATTAAAAATTTCAGAGAAGACTTTTAAATTAATCATAGGAAATGTTAAAATTTCGAATTGAAAGAAAAAAATAAATCGATTTGAAAGAGCTGAAGTAATTATTTAGATGCTTCTTTAAGAAAGCACAGAATATGAACTTTTTAAAGGAAATTCCTAATAAATTTAAGGGATAAAAGAAATATAATTAAAGCTAATTCTATAAGAAGGACCAGCAATAAAAAGGCAATAATCAAGTGATATGAATAAAAGATAAACAATGAGATAATATTTTGGAAGATATTTGAAGTTTGATTTGTCTTTTATTCCTCTGTTCAACTATTTTAAGTAATTAGGGAATCAAAATAAAATTTAATAACGTCGAATGGATACGATTCAATTTCAGTTGTCATAACAAATAATCTATAATTTTAAGAAATTTTTTCACAGCGGAAGTATACTTTTTATCAAAGAGAAGATTAAGGATTTATAGATAGATGAAATTCTTTTAATTTGAAATTTCATTAAAGACTATAAATGTTTAGAATTTTATAAATATTCAACAATAAATTATTTACAAAAACTTTGCAAAAGGATATAATTACACAATTTTTTAGAATAATAATTAATAGAATTTTATAATTAAAGTTAAAAATTAAAGCTTGAAATACAGATGAATAGTAGGTTCAGCATAAATATCAAAATTATTTTAATTTTGGTTTATTTTGGAATTTTCCTTTACGATTTTATCAATATTTGATATTTAAGATAATTACAAATCGCGATATCAATTTTTGAATTTTTTGGTTTGTAAACTCATAAAATATTTTAATAAAATTTGTTTTTTAGAAGAAATAAAATTATTGTAACAATTTTGTGATACTTAATAACTCGATCAAAATGAAAATTAAAAAATTAAAAATAAAATGAAAAATCTAAATTCTTATGGTTTTTAAGGAATTTAGTCTCAGTGAATTTGGGCACCTGAGTGTCATTTATTAGGGAATAGATGATCGAATGGATTTGCACTCGATCTTACAGAAAATATATTTTTATCTTCAAAAATTATTTTTTCTTATTTAAAAATATTCATGTGTAAAAACAATTTTTTACAAGATCTTATAATTTTATATTATCATTTCGTTTTTTATGAGATTTATTTTCATGTTAGAAATTCACAAGTGTAATTTGCAATGGATCAATAAAATACCAATTATTATTTCTTAGCATTTTTTTAACGAAGCAATTTTATATTCCATCTATCAATTTAATATTTTAAATTTGAATATGAATTTAACAGAAAATATAACATTTTTTTGTTTAAAAGTTGTAATAATAGCTGGCACCATAAGCTCTTAAACTTTTTTTTTTCACTAACTAATTTTTTGTATAAAATTCCCTTAAACTTAATTTATTGCCATAGTTGTATTCATCTAACAATCGGAATTGTAATTTTTTAACTCAAATTTCTTTAAGTATACTAACAACTTAAATATTAGAATATCCTAAAACGTAGTTTTTTATTGATCAAAAAATTTAAAGGAAGGTAGATGAGATATTCAATATATAATTATATGACAATAATATCAAAGTTAGTGGTGATGGTCTTTTGGTGAGGAAGGCTATTGTTAGATAAAGATCGGGAATTGGATAGAGTTAGATGAAAGGTTTCTTTGGAAATACAGAGTAATAGTTTATAAAGGTGAATTTAATATAAAAGGCATGAAAATTGGGACATGGGTGGATATGCATTTAAGAATGAATGAGAAAATAGGTGAAAAGAATTATGATAATTGAAAGCCAAATGAGTCAGACTTATATAAATCGATAAATGAAATAAATAAATATTAAATAATTTCTATTGAGTTAAGCGAATAAAATTTAGAGTCTAAAATTTTTCGATTCGCAAAATAATAATCGTTCTCATTTATTCACATTTAGAATAAATAGTTAATTTGATATTGAATTAAAAAATTATATTTTAGAGAGAACTTGAATGAGGATATAAATAATTTAATATGAATATCAACTTTTTATAATTATTTTAACATTTACTGAAACAATAAAATACTTTTTAACAAGAATAAAATTTATTTATTGTTGAATTAATAATATCAAAATTTATTTCAATAGTAGTTATGTTTAAAGAATAAAAAAATAAATTCATTAAAATCAAATTTATATTTTGAGAATCTTTATTTCTAAAATTTCAATATGTGCTGCTTTTTAAAAATTATCTGATTATTTGAATATTAATTAGCTTTCATTTGTAACAAATGTCATTATTCACAAAATAAGTTTATTTTTGAAATGAATTCATCTTAAATAATTTAAAATATAGGTAAATAAAAGATTAATATGAAGTATAAATTTAAAGATTTATTTAATATTTTCATTAGAAATTTTCCTAATTTTCAGTAAGTTCGTGCTTATACTATAATAATCATTAATTATATGTTACTTGATATAACTCAAAAAAGGCATAAAGTATTAATTAATTTGTTATCCTCTTTAATATTTTCAAGAGTTTGCGTAAGTTTATATTTATTCTCTTTTGTATTTTGATCAAATATCCATTTTATTGAAACTTAACACTTTGTTATTTTAGATATTTATTATTTTATTTAATAATTATAATGTGTTTGGATTCAAAGATTAATAAATAGAATTAGATATTAATTTTATATTATGAATAAATTATTAATGGATCATTCTAATAATAATTTATTATCCTAAACCTTATCCTTACTCTTCTTCCAACAATAGAATATAAGAAAACCAATGGTTAATATTCCAATAACAATTAAGACAATAGCCCAAATAGGGAAATTATTTGAATCTTCATCATTAGGAGGTGTTGGAGGTTTTGGTTTATCTTCTGAAATAGTGATATTCAAATTTGCTTCAAGACTTGAGATAGAATTATGCAAAGTTAAATGGATAATTTAATTAATTTGTTTTTCTGTAGTACAAACTTATGGAGACCTCTTTAATAAATAATGCTGTAATTTTGTTTATTCTTCAGTTGAAGCCAATAAATGCAATATTTCATTTTATAAATAGATAAATGATTAAATTTAAAAAAAATCTCCAGGTTCTTCACCTGATGGGGTATTCAAATGGGCAATAGCGTATTTAGGATATTCAATACTGCTTTCAGTTTCTAAATCAAATAGCAATATTTCAAAATGATTATATGCCCAATAAACCATTGATAGAATATTTTCATTTGTATATACTATAGGATAGATATTAACAATAATCCATCCTTCATATTATTAATAAACACCGTTCAATTCAAAATATTTGAGATCACATAATTTCTTTCCAGTGCAATCAAATTAAAATTTAAATGAAAATGTTGCTATATTATTGTATACAATTATTATTTCATCTTTTCTTAAAATTAGTCCCACACAGAATGAATTAATAGATACATATAATTTATTCTACTTTAAAATATCAACTATATCTAAAGCAAAATCCTAATTATCACTTGATGTTTTAGAAACTTCGAAATTATTAAAAAATGTGTTTCCTCTTAAATCCACAAAAATTACCTAATAGATATTATCTTTTAAATGCTAGAATTCAAGAAAAAATGGCTTTTAAAAAAGAGTAAATTCTTTGAATTATTCATATTCTGATACCATTAATGGATTTCCTTTAGTATCATAAACAAATATAGTTTGAACTGAATAGATAAAGAAATTATTTTTATCAATAAATACTTTATTAATACTTGTTGGGAATTGTAATTCATCTTTTAATAGATTGCAAATAGAATCCTAACATTATATAATTTTTATGTAAATTAAAGTTCTTTTTTCTGCTTCAACATATATATTTTGATCTTGAATAAATAATAATTTGTTAATCTTATATGTATTTTAAATGGTAAACTCCTTTTTAGTCATATCAGACTTTTTGACTAAGATAATTTTATCCTCCATCAATTAAATTAACATTTCAGAATTCAATTCTTAAATAAATGGACTAAACTCTAAAGTTTCAATTTACTTTGATAATGTATTGATATACTTTATCTTTTCTTAATCTTTATTCTATGTTATATCAAATGCTTAACCACTATACCAAGATTAATCCAAATTTAAACAATGGATCTAAGTACTATCTTATTTAAAAGTTAAATTTAGTGAATCCTTAGTCTAAAATAATGAAACCCCTCTATTAATTATTACAGCAGGAATATTTAAATAAATAATTACATTTTATCTATCGTTTTTAACAGTCAAAATTAAACTTATTTCTTTAGAATACTAAATCTACTTATTACTGTCCTTTAATATAGATTAAACAAAATTTTCTCCTGTGATATAATAATTTTATTGTAATTAATTATTAACAGTTACATCAGTAATAAAACAATAAGCATTAGAAATTGAGAATTTAGCAGTTGATGTATATTCTAGACTTGCAAACATGGAATTAAAACTTGTTTCATCAATTTTATATATTAGTAGATTGTATTTTTCATTAGTTAAACTAACTATATAAAATAGGTTTTACTATAGATTAACTTCTATTTATGTTAATCTAATAATAAAATTCTTATCAAATTTAATTTATTTCTCTAAGTAGATATTATTTAAACTTTAAAAATTGAATACAGTTGCAATATATTCTTGTTCATCTTTTGTTTTGATCAATCTTGCAAAATGATTTTTTAAAATTATAAAATTTTTCTCATTATAATTAATACTGATATCTGTTGTGAACCAAATTAAATTAAACTTCTACTATTCAAATGAGAATATTTTTAATTATCCGTTTTACTCCATAAAAAAAAGATTCTATTTAACTGGAGATGCATACATATCTCCTATAATATTTTTGGTTTGTAGCAATATTACATTATTTTCAACAGTTATTTCGTAGATTTTGATAGATTGTTCCAAATTAACTAATAAATGATAACCATCAGTAACTATTTATTTAGGATTTTCATCTAAAATAATAGTTTTCAATAGATCAAATTTATTCTATTAATAGTAAACACAATAAATATTAATAGTTGAACCTTATAGAATAGCTAAGAATATGGAATTATTATTAAACCACCAAAGTTATTTATCAGAGTCTTACAATTATTCAAATTATCTTTTAACAAAAATGGATTGGCAATTTAATTTAAGTTTAGATAAAACTTCACAAGTGAATCCACTAATTTATTTATCATTATGCTATTAAATGATTTAGATATTTTAATTATTTAAATTTGATAATGATTTTCTATAAATAACATCTGATATATCACCTATGTTTAAGATTTCAAATGCTTAAAATTATTCCACTTTTAAATTTAGTAAATCATGTTCTTTAAATTCAAATTTTAAATTTGATCCTTAAAAAATAGGGTTCAACTTAACATCCACATTATCCTGAAAAATACTTTGAGCAATAAAAGATTAAGGTAATTAAGTGTAATATATTTATTTTGATTCATGACTAACAGCCATATAATAAATTTTGACGATACAATTTGTTTTTGATACAATATTAGTCATTCTATAAATTGTTTCAACAGGAAGAGTACCTGCTGAAAATTATAATTAATAATCTTTTTTCACAGCATATCTATAAAAATATTCATCATCAATAATTAAGAATCCATCAGAATTTGAATGTATAGAGATTTAATATTTTATATCAGTTAAAATTGTTGAATAAAATCTATATAACTCTTAAGAATAAAGGGCTATAGATTTATCCGAAAACAATAAGATTGAACTTTTTAGTAAAAACACCTTATCTGTAGGCTTAGAATTTATTATTGAAGTTAATTTTTGGGAATTTATTGTTTTTGTGAAAAGCTACTTTTCTGAAAGAATTACATAAATATTTCTATAGACGTCTAAATCATATGAATAAACACTTGTTATCTACGTATCAATACACCTAACCAATAACCACTAATCATCCTTATACTATAAAATAATTAACTCCCCAGATTCATTCATTATACTAATCCATCCATTTGTATGAGTTTAAAAATCTTTTATTTACAATTAGAAAGATTCTTCATTTAATAAGATTCTTAGAGAATCCTAGTCTAAGCTATTTATAAGTTAAAGAGTTAATTGTTTTTCTTCATAAAGTTCTAATTTATCTATAGTACCTCTGATTAGGTATGAGTCAATCATATCTAATTTTCTAAAAGAATCTTTTGGCTTCGCTATAGCCAAGTAAACTATAGGTGATTGATTAACTGTTAAAATACTAAAGTAATCTCCATTAGTATAAGAACATTCTATAATAACCAAAGTTCTCATCAAAACAATATCATAGCATGATGAATTTGCTCTACTTGTGCTTGGGAATACAGCATCTAAAAGAGGAAATGCAGAGTATTATTTTAAGTCATATTCGCAATAATAATTTCCTTCACTAAAGCGTAGAATTGCCATTAAATGTTATGGTTCAATGCTTGTTGTTAATTTTAACATTTTAATCGAAATCGTTTAACCTTTCACCCTATGATTTGAAATTTTTTCTATTTCTTATAAAGGAGATGTAATCGCTAAAAAATTTACTTCAGGCTAAAATGTGATCTAATCATAATCATTTTAAATGAAAATCTGAGACAATGGAATATTTATTATTTCACTTGGAGTTGATGTTATGAAAAGTTAATTGTCCATTAAATTAGAACATTAATGTGTAAGTATAATAAGACAATTAAGGATTAGATGAATACTTTTCATTTTAATAATTTTTATAAACATTTATAATATCTTTTTATTCTTATATTACATTCTAATTACATAATAAACTATATTTAATGGTTTCTAAGAGAACATAACTTATAATTTCTTTATATATAATTTGATCTAAAACACTTTGTAAATGGAACACAACCACACAAAAATGTGAAGAAAGATCAGATATAAAGGAATTAACATAAAATCAATGTTCACTATTAAGAAGATGGTGGTTATTATTGGTTTGATGGCTGATACACAGTTTTTCCAACTTAAGATGATCAAGTTAGAAGATCTTATTATCTTCATTTCTAATTATCATTGTACCCTTTACTTTTGTACTTTTGTCCTTAAGTATTTCATTTTACCCTTTACTTTTGTACTTTTGTCCTTTAGTTATTCATAGTACTTTTTACTCTTGTACTTTTGTCCTTAAGTATTTCATTTTAGGTTTGGGTTTGGGGTTGGGGTTGGGTTTGGGTTTGGG